TACTTCCCTTCTCTTCATACATACAAGTTCACCATTTTATATGTGACACTAAATTTGTCTATAATTATAAAAATTAATATTAGGGTAAATTACACCCACACCCTTGAGGTATGCTTAGATAACTTTAAGGTCCCGGTAGTATCGATAATTACACTCACCCCCTTGGAACGTAGTTATAAACTCTAATGGGATAATGCATTGAATACGTTATTACGATAGAGTTCTAGCGGACTATTGGTTTCAGGAAGTGGTGGAGACAACAAAAAGTTATGAGTGATTTAAGAAATATTGGGGAAGCCATGTCACCCCATAACTCCCCATAACTCTATGTTATCTCCAACACTAGCTAAAATTAATAGTCCATTAGAACCCTATCGAAATAATGTATCCAATGCATTATCCCGTTAAAGTTTCTGACTACGTTTCAGGGGGTGAGTGTAATTATTGATACCATAGGGACCTTAAAATTATTTAAGCATACCTCATGGGTGTGGGTACAATTTACCCAATAATATTATAATACATATAATAAATTTGTCTAGTGGAGTATCTATTAAATTGATTAGGCAATTTGTTATAGGTTTTATCTATATTATATATATATATATATATATATATATATATATATATATATATATATATATAGGCAATCTTTATCTGTATTATAATTTATGTGAATAAATCTATTAAAATATCTATATTTTAATAAATTAATTATATTTATTGTGATTGAAATATTCTTAATTAAATTAAATTAAACTCTTCAAACTTCTAAATTTTAAATAAAAAATAATATTAATTTGTAATTTATTGTACAAAATCCCCGGTACCGCCACCACCGCCACGGCTCCGTGAAATATTATATTTTCAAAATCCTATTGAATATTAATATTTCAGATCACGAATCTTGTATGAAACATTATATATCATGTATCATGTGTAATTGGCTTAATCCCACTTTGAAATTGCGCATTTTGGCGCTTTGAACTCTTGAAAAATAATAATAGCATTTTACACTCTCAAAGCATAATATATCATTCACAATGCATTATTAATTGAATAATAAAGGATAATTTATTTTTTATTGGTTTTTTTTTCGGCGTGCAAAATAACTAATTACATTGTTATTTAAAAATCACACCGGTTAAATAAAAAAAAATATATTTTTCTTACAAAAGAAAATCAAATAAACTTTTATCACTAAAATATTTGATTGATAGATATTTTATTATAACTAGTGGAAATATTAGGTACATATATTTGGAAGAAAATATCATTTTCAGATAACTTGATAACGAAATATCTGAAAGATTTTTTTTTCGTAAAATATTTTTTTCTGATAAAAAATACAATTTTTAAATGGGGAGTGCTAAATCCCACACTAAAATTTACTAAATCTCTCACATAAATTAAAAAAAAAAAAAAAAAAACTCTCTTTACTCAAATTCTCTCAAACTTCTTCCTAAAATGATTTTATCTAAGTCACTCAAAATTCATTAATTTTTTACATAAATAATCATAAAAAATGAGTTCTGTTTCATTTAATATTTATTCAATTTCATTAAGACTTTTAATTAATTATTCAAATTCATACCAATTCGAATTTTTTCCTAAAATTCCAACTTTATTTTAGTTTGAACATGTGAAGATTTTTGTCAAATTCGAACTTGGAATGTTAGGGATGTTTTTAGTGTGTGATTTTGTGAAAAAGTTAGGGGAAAAAAAGAAGGGTGGGGATTGGGGAATGAGAAGAGAAGATTTTAGAGAGATAAATATTTTTAATTATGTGCATGATTTGGTAAAAATAGCGTGGGATTTAGCATTTCAGTTTTTAAATACCATTAAAAATATTAAATTACCTTTATTAGCTTTAAAAACTCATATGGAGTGCATTATGCATGATATATATATTGTGTTTCGATGATGCAAAATGCTATAATTTATTTTGAGGGTGCAAAATGCCAAAATGATATATTTCAAGAGTGCAAAGTGTGATTAAGCCTGCTTAATTATTAGTACTAATTAATCTGTCTATTATTAAAAATCTCCGACACATATCTCGATATAACCTAATCCGGAATATGAACCATAAAAGAAAATACCTAGTAAACCGATCACAAGAATACCAGCTACGGTACCTATTATCCAAAGAGGAATCCTTCCAGTAGTATCGGCCATTTACTCCACTTCCCTCCAATTTCATCAAGTGGTCATGCTAGAGACATAAACAGACACTGACACTGAGAGACTAAAGCTAGGGGAGCGAATGGGATTAGATACCCCAATAGTCTTAGCCGTAAACGATGGATACTATGCGCTGTGCGTATCGACCCGTGCAGTGTTGTAGCTAACGCGTTAAGTATCCCGCCTGGGGAGTACGTTCGCAAGAATGAAACTAAAAGGAATTGACGGGGCCCGCACAAGCGGTGGAGCATGTGGTTTAATTCGATGCAAAGTGAAGAACCTTACGAGTGCTTGTATTGCAATTGCTCAGGATACCCTTTTTTAACTTCTAGGGTCTGTTTCTTAGTTCAAGATCCCTCTTACTAACTGGAATCAAAGAATTAGTAGATCTGTTCCGACCAAAACGGGAATGGACTAGGGTTATGAACTTATAATTTGATGATCGAGTCGATTCCATGATTATAAGTTCATCCCATACCGGACCAAGTAATAGGGTTATATACATTCTCAAGGGGTCAGTCGAGGGTATACAAGAATTAGATGTCCATGAAGGAAAAAAGATCAAAAAGAAAGGAAAAAAGTGCACAAACAAATCAAATTGGAGAAGGTTCAAAAAAAAAAAAATCAAATTGGAGAAGGAATCCCGCCACAGCTTTGGCAGTGTCCACCATTTCGAGCATATCTCTCTCATACAAACTCCAAATCAGCTGATTTTGGCGGCATTGGAAAGGTAATTTCAAAGGCTACAATTCTTATTGACACAACATTCCAAAATTCGGACTCCAACATGACGAAAATCGAAGAACAAGTCATGATGGGGGAAAGTGGCAGAAATTGATTCCTATTAGGTTTCAAACTACTTCCTTATCAAGAAAAGTCTATAAAAGCAACAAGTCTCTACAGCATAAGCACGAAATTTGACACCACAAAACGCGAGGAACGAAGATCAACGAAGACTCAAGCATAGTTTTTCTTATTCAATTTATTTCTTTTATTTTCTTTATCATAAGAATCACGAGTAGCTAAGTATTTATTTCTAGGATTTTATTTGGAACCCTATGTGGGATTTATGAACCATTTTCTATGATTTTATGCAAGTTTTAATTTCGGATTATTTCTTCTACTTGTTTTATTAAGTGCATGAACTTGATCACCTTATGTGCTTTTATGTTATTGTTAATCGCATGAATCGGAAGATTGGGTTAATAATTAGAACTATGGTAGAAGAGCCTCTGTGGTATTAACATAGGAATATAGTTAATCTCTTAGGTAGCCATTATTGAGATTTCTGCTTAATGTTGTGTTCTAGAATTAATTGCATAGGAATATAGTAATTGAATCTAGAGTATTAGAATCGTAATACACGCGGAAGCGGGTTATGATTATGTTAGCATCTCAGGTTAATAATCCGGGTTAATTGCTTGCATAATTGAAGGAATTGGGGGAGTAATAATCACATAGGGGGGAATAAAATCCTAGGCTTGTTTACTCTAATAAATCTTCGTGTTTAATTTGCTTTCTTGCTTTGTCTTTTTAAATTGCTTTAATTTAGTTAATTCTCTCTAAAGTCGATTGTGTAGGGTGGACTTGATAATAATTGGTAGAATTTAGCGTCTAGAATTAGATAATTAAATATTCTCTGTGGAATCGATATCCAGACTTAATTGTCCACTTTATTACTTGTACGATACGTGCACTTGCATGTAGATTTTCGGCCAAACACGAACCAATATTTATTAAAGTAAAAACAAGACAAACTTTGTGAGCTGGAGTACTACTAGGAATCAATGTTGCAGACTATTTATTAATTAATCAATGACACACACACACACACACATATATATATATATATATATATATATATATATATATATATATATATATATAGATATATATAGTGATATATATATATGGATATATATATATGTGGCGACAAATAACTATGGGTGACTACAGATTACTATGATTTTCCTACAGGCGTCTTCAAAACAAAATTAAAGAAATTCATAATTTTCAGTTATGTAAGAAACAAGGAAAAAAAAATATTTTTATATTAGTGAAAAAATACGAAAATGAAAAAAAAAATTACAAAAGTGATAGATGCAGAAATGAAAATGTTAAATACATAATACAAGGTGATAAATGCAGTTAAAATATTACTTGAAGCTTATTTTATTGTTTATGTGTGTATGACATTTCTGGAACGAAATTTATAAAGGATGTGAAACAAAGATTTATTTGAGCTTATATCCTATATTTATAACACATGCATTTTCAATTCAACGTTTTTGTCGAACTAGCTACTGTTGAATATTAAACTAAAAACACGACAAACTTTGTGAACTGGAGTACAGGGAATCAATGTTGCAGAGAATTAATTAATTAATTAATGACACATATATATATATATATATATATATATATATATATATATATATATATATATATATATATATATGGATTTTATATCGAGATATGTGCAGACATTTTCAATAATAGCCAGATTAATTATAGTATACATGATATATTATGTTTCAAACAAGATTCGTGATCTGAAATATTAATATTCAATAGGATTTTGAACATATATACAATATTGATATATAATTGTTATTTAATTAATGTAGGATTAGTTAGATGATTACAATGTTGAATAAAACTATATATCAGCATAAGAATGAGTATGTACGTAAAACTATATATATATATATATATATATATATATATATATATATATATATATATTCAAATTAAATCCGATTTAATAATTTTGAGATCCAGTAGCCAATAACAATGGCGAACCCATGAGATCCTTTTCCCATGCACATGCAAACAGACTTTTCACGATCAAGTTTGTTAGGTTTGCGCCAAACTCCTTTACGTAACTGACTGTTACGTTTTCCAAATTATATATCATTATATTGATATCAATTACAGTGAAGAAACACACACACACAAAACAATTGCTAAAAGTCACGAGCCAATTATAATATATTAAGTAATTAATCTGTAAGAAAATAAAGATTGGCAGACGACCAATTTGAAACGCAACGAATATATTAACAATTTCCAACTGTCACCTTTTGATTAATTATTTACACTGTGAATCTCTCTCTCTCTCTCTCTCTCTCTCTCTCTCTCTCTCTCTCTCTCTCTCTCTCTCTCTCTCTCTCTCTCTCTCTCTCTCTCTCTCTCTCTCTCTCTCTCTCTCTCTCTCTCTCTCTCTCTCTCTCTCATATATATATATATATATATATATATATATATATATATATGTATACTTAATTCCCCAACTAGAACCACACACACCAGTTATTAACTTTTAAACTCTAATATATACAGAAAAATAAGAAGAAAAAAATGCAAAGTCTCTCATCAGGTTCACAGCTCAATTTGTTTAATGCATTTGGAAGATGCAGATTGGTCTCATCTACAACGCTTCGATATCTATCCTCCGAACGATGCAGCAGTAAGTTTTCACTGTAACGTAACCCGATTAATTAATAGTATGTTTCATCATATCATATGTATGTGTATATTATAAAAAGTTATATCCGAGTTTTGGTCTAATGACAAAAAAAATTAACTAGTTATATTTAACTAATTTTAGACTTATGAAAGTTATATCTCCGATCATTGCATGAGAAATTGAAACATGATAAACTTAGAGGACTAAATATATATCTAAATAGACCAACATGGAGGACTAAAATTACAATTATCCCTTTTTCTACTCGATCGGCGTTTTTAATTAAAAGATATTTATAGGACACGTAATCTTTTTTAATTAGCAAATTAAAGGGATATATTAATTATTCGATCTCATAATTGACAACATTTATACAAATTTCCTAGTGATGTGGAAGATGGGAAGTACAGTGGATGCAACCTATATGGAGTCTTTCCTTGTTCGTCGAAGAAATATACCGAACGACTCCAGAAAAGGTATCGAAACGTAACCTAAATGTGGTGTAATTAAACGCTAGAGAAATATTTTAATATGGACCATGTAATTAAACGTAATTGTTGTTCTTTTATTTAATATATATATATATATATATATATATATATATATATATATATATATATATATATATTATAGTTAATTTATCCAACAGTAACAATGACCAAGTTATTGCAGGTAGCATGCACTTGCCACAAGTATATGTTCAAAATGATCACTCATTACAACATGGACCCCTTAACGAGGTTAGTACATTATATATACACACACACTAATGGACTGATTATATGTTAATTCTTGATTTAAGTAGATCAATAAAATGTTTAGTTTAATCTTATTAATTACAGGATATGCCTCTTCCTGTGATCAATAAGTCACATGAAATATACGACTCTATCGACTACATTAAAAACATTTTGAGTTCAATGGACGATGGACGAATAAGCGTGTCGCCCTATGACACAGCATGGGTTTCCTTTATACGAGATTTTCAAGGGAGGAATATTCCTCAATTTCCGTCAAGTATCGAATGGATTTCAAATAATCAACTCACTGACGGTTCGTGGGGTGACGAGCACTATTTCTTGGCGTACGATCGGTTACTCAACACACTAGCATGTGTAGTTGCATTGAGATACTGGAACGTTCATGGTGACAAGAGTGATCGAGGTAGTCGTTAACCTAATTTTCCGAAAACCTTAAACACCACTAAATACATATATAATACTATCTATTTTCTTGAATTTATATATATATTTTTTTATTAGGGATATCATTTATTAAAGATAATATAAGCAAGCTTGGAGATGCGAGCCCCGAGCACATGACATGTGGATTCGAAGTTGTGTTTCCTGCACTTCTTAAACGAGCTAAAGATTTGAACATTGATGGTATTCCGTATGATGCTCCGGTTATTCAACATATTTTCGATGTTAGAGATAGAAAGATGAAAAGGTTAGTGCCCATTTGTTGTATATATATGCCGTTACTACAATTTTTCATGTGCTGATGTGCAGTTATCTTAAATATTAGAAATTTGCACGTGTTTAATTTCTTTTTCATGTCAATTTCGAAATTTAAATTATATATTATTGGACACGAATATATAGGGTGCCTAAGGAACTATTGCACGAGGTACCGACATGCCTATTGCACAACTTGGAAGGACTTGGAGATTTGAAATCGCTCGGAAAATTAGAGTGGCCGAAGATTCTAAAGCTGCAAACACCAAAGGGGTCGTTTATTACTTCCCCTGCCGCGACTTGTTACGCGATTACGGAGACTAATGATCAAGATTGCATCGATTTTATTCAATACGTCGTTCAAAAATTCAATGGAGGAGGTAGTAACGCGATTATGTTATTTTTCAATACGCTTATGTATATATCTAAAAGAATGTTATATATTATTTTAATTTTCAGCTCCGACTGTATACCCTGTGGATATATACGCACGACTCTGGGCCGTTGATCGACTAGAACGCCTTGGAATTTCTCGATTCTTTGAGCCAGAAATCAAGAATTGTTTGGATCACGTCTATAGGTGTGTGTGTGTGTGTGTGTGTGTGTCTATATATATATATATATATATATATATATATATATATATATATATATATATATGAATTTTTTGATGAAGTAGTTGGATTTGCAGTTTTTGGACAGAAAAAGGAGTTTTCAGTGCAAGAAATTCAGAATTTTGTGACATTGATGATACATCCATGGGTATCAGACTTCTTAGGTTGCATGGATACAATATTACCCCAAGTACGTGAAATTAATTATTAAATAAAAAAAAAATCTTAATCTTAGTTATGTTTATAAATAAGTACTAATTAATGGAAAATTAAAATGTTGCGACAGATGCATTGAGAATATTCAAGAACGGTGACGAGTTCACATGCTACGTCGGTCAAGGGTTCGAGTCACCGTCTCCGATATTCAATTTGTATAGGGCTTCTCAAGTATTATTCCCAGGTGAAACAATTCTTGAAGAAGCCAAACAATTCTCTTACAATTTTCTAAAACAAAGGGTAGACAAAAATGAACTTCTTGATAAATGGTTAATCTCCAAACATCTTCCTAGTGAGGTAATTAAACTACCATATATATATTTTACGTAAATTAAAATTCTGACCACAAACTTTACGATAATTACGAAATTAACCCATAATATAATGATTCTTTTAAACAGATAAAGTGTGGCTTGGAAATTCCATGGTATGCCAGCTTGCCTCGTCTCGAGGCTCGCTTCTATATCGAAAATTACGGCGCAGATGATATATGGATTGGCAAGTCATTGTATAGGATGCCGGAAATCAACGAAGAACGATATCTTGAGCTCGGGAAATTAGATTACAACAGATGTCAAGCCCAGCATCAGATGGAATGGAACCATATGCAGCAGTACTATTTATTTATACATAAAACTTAGTTATAAAATTATTATATATATGATCTGCATATAAATGCATATCTTTGAATTTATTAAATTCATTTTCGCAGATGGTACGAACATTCGAATCTTGAAGAATTTGGAGTAAGCAAAAAGGAATTCCTCCTCGCGTTTTTCGTTGCGAGTTCAAGCGTATTTGAACAAGAGAGATACGGAGAAAGAATAGCTTGGGTTAAAACCAATATCCTCTCTAATATTCTTTCAAATCACTATTATTCCATCGAAGATTCTTCGGAGCAAAGGACTGAATTATCGACGGAATTACAAAACAAACAAGGCAGAAAATGGCAAGTCTCGAATATTTTCACACACTTTAGTCCTAACTTCATCGTCGTGTCTTCTTATATTTATTTTTAATATATTCATTTTATTGTTTTCAGGGGATATAGTTACACTAAGGTACATAGACTTATTGCAATCCTACTCGAAACGCTTCAAGAATCCACGACGCATGCACTAGATCGGATTGGCGTAGACGTTAGCAATCTATTACTTGATCTAGTAAGTTAAACCTTAAATCCCTACAAATACGCACACACACACACACGTGTGTGTGTGTATATATATATACACGAAGTTCTACTAAGTAATGTCGATATATATGACACGTACAGTGGGGGGCATGGTTAAAGAAGCTAACTGGGGAAGGAGATGATGAAATAGAACAAGTGGAGCTAATTGTCGGAACATTGAATATTTGCGGTGGCCATATTTCACCTAAAGACGATAAACTATCCCACGATGAATACAGAACTCTCTGTCGACTCAGTAACAAAATCTGTCACCAGCTTGCAGAATTTGAAAATAGAAATAAAAAGGTGAGAATTATTATTTAAAGACTTTCAATTTTTTTAAGCAACTTAAATTTGATATTAATACGTTATACGTAATACATAAGTATAGGTAAACGACGTGGAATGGACGACGAGTGAAATAGACAAGGACATGCAGCTGCTGTTGAAGTTAGTACTACATCCAAACTCGAGCTGCAACTTAAGTAAAGATGTGAAGCAAACATTTTTCGTGGTGGTTAGAGCATTTTATTACAAGGCGTATTTTGCTACCGAGCAAATCGACAGCCATATTTCCAAAGTCCTCTTTGAGAAAGTTGTCTAGTTCTCGTTATACTTTATTTCTACAGTCATCAAACCAAAGAGCAATAAGAATAGAGCGATTTACAACATATTTCCCATTCTTCAATTTATATTTACTTATTGTAGGAATTTGGTGAAAAAGACTCTTTAACTTGCAAGGCTATAATTTTTTTCCAAAATTTTGAATATAAAAAATCAATAATGAGATGGGGCCGACCCACAAAAAAGTCGGTTGTCGACCATTATCCGAACCACAATATCGGACCGATAATGATTTTCAATTTTCACCAAAATTGGTTGGTTGGATTGGGCCGATAATTGACCGATAATTACCCCAGCCGACTGCCGATAATTTTTCTTTGAATTCTTCTTTCCTTGATGGTGGACTCATTTTACCGCCGCCGCCGCCACCGGGGTAGTGGTGGGGAGTGGGGAGTCGGGGTGAGGGGATTGGGGGAAGAAATGGGGTAGGAGATTTTAGATTATTTTATTTATTTATTTAATATATTTTAATTAAAGATTAATTTTGGTTGAAAAAGGAAGAGAAATAATTTTGGATAAGTCTTTGTAAGATTTAAAAAACTGTTAAATAATTTAATGACTTTTCTATTTCCATATTTTCTTCTAATTACCAAACAAAACTAAAGAAAGTGATTTTCTAGAAAATCATTTTCATCACCGTTTTTCCTAGGAACCGAACACAGTTGGGATTTCAAAAGTCATTTCATTTTCCTTATTTTGAAATCCATGAACCAATCAGAGCCTTAATGTAAACAACCACGTAAAGAAGATAACACACACACACACACTCACTGACACACGCATCTAACAAATTGACCCATGAGCAATACGAGTCACGAGTCACGAGACACGGTGGTCGAATAATAAATTTCGAAGTTAAATTTGTACTTGGGGGAGGGCTTTCTATATTACCAATCACAATAGGTTTATCTCTATTGTATTTATGGAGGTTAGGTTTGTGTCCCTTGTACGTATACATGCTTTTTCATATTCATCATCAATACCAGTTTGTTAAATAGTATACTTAGGTCTCGTTTGGTTGGGGAAATTAGTCATTATTAACTAAATAATTAGAATTTGTTTGATGTGTTTGGTATCCCCAATAACTTGCCGGGTCGACCCGCAAATATTATGTTATCATAGTGTTTTCTAGGCATTCTTTGCAATTTGCACACCAGTACATGCAAATGCGATAATTGCATGTAATACAGCAAGTGCTGTAGCCCAAGCGTTTCTATAAATAAATCATCACTGATTCAATTAATGAAGCCACAATTATATTTACTAATTAAATCTCTCTCTCTCTTTCTCTCTCTCTCTCTCTCTCTCTCTCTCTCTCTCTCTCTCCATGGAAATAATCCAGGCCCTGTTTCTTTTGACACAGTATTTCTTCATTTTCGTATTTATTTCCCTCTTAGTAAAAAAATTCATGAAATCAATACCCACAACTCCCCATAAATTGCCTCCAGGCCCCTGGAAACTACCTGTATTCGGAAACCCTCCACCAGCTGATCGGTTCACTCCCACACCACGCATTCAAAACCCTAGCTCAAAAACACGGCCCGCTCATGCAAATAAAGCTCGGCCAGCTCCAAATGGTCGTCGTTTCATCTCCAAACCTAGCCAAAGAAGTCATGAAAACCAAAGACGCTTCTTTCGCCGATAGAGTCCAGCTCATGCTCTCCAAGATAGTCATGTACAACTGCACCGACATAGCATCGGCTCCGTACGGAGAGTATTGGAGAACAGTGCGCAAAATATGCGTCCTTGAGTTCTTGAGCCACAAGAAAGTCAGATCTTTCCGCAGTCTGATGGAGGAGGAAGTTCTCCGCATGGCGGGGGTCCGTTCGGGCGGACAGGGGGCTGCCCGTCAATCTGACCGAAAAGATTCGGTCAATGGAATGCCGGCTGATTTGCAGAGCCGCCGTCGGGCGTGCATGCAAGGATCAAGACTCGTTGATAAGGATTATCAATGAAGCTGTTTCGATTGCGGCCGTTTTCAACTTTGCCGACTTGTTCCCTTCGATGAAGTTTCTCCATTTTCTGTCGGTTGGTTCGAGGACAAGGTTGGAGAAGATGCACAAGAGAGTTGATAGTGTTCTTGAAGACATTATTAGACAGCACGAAGAGAAGGAGGTACGAGGTAGTAGTCATGAACTACCGACGATGGAGGAGGAAGATATACTTGATGTTTTGTTAAGGGCTAATGAAAGAACGGATCTCCAAGTTCCCATTACTAGGGATAATATCAAAGCCAACATTTTCGTAAGTATTTATTCCATTTCGTCTCTTATTTGCATAATTACATTTACCCGACCGACACGATCTATCGTTTTCCCCTTAGATTCCAAAAATATTGGTCCAACATTCCAATTTTACCCTGGCATGCAGGAAATGTTTATAGCTGGAATAGAGACATCCTCGTTAGTGATCGAATGGGGCATGTCCGAAATGATGAAGAATCCAAGAATCTTGCGAAAGGCGCAAGCAGAAGTCAGACAATTCTCTCTCCAAGAAAACCAAACATTCCTAGAAACCGACATCCATTCCTTAAAGTACCTCAAAATGGTTATCAAATAAACCTTGAGGCTCCACCCTCCAGGCCCCTTCCTTTGCCCGAGGAGCTGTCGGGAGGAATCCAAGATCGACGGCTACGACATACCGGTCAACACAATCGTGATGGTCAACGTCTGGGCTATAGGAAGAAACCCTGATTACTGGAAGGAACCTGAGAGATTCGAACTTGAGAGGTTCGAAGACGTTGCCACTGATTTCAATGGCAACCATTTCGAGTTCACGCCATTTGGCGCTGGGAGAAGGATATGTCCAGGGATAGGGTTTGGGATGGCCGGTGTGGAACTGTGTCTTGCTCATTTGTTGTACCGTTTCGATTGGAAAATTCCAGGTGGGATTGGTCGCGAAGAATTTGACATGGCTGAGAATTTCGGTGCATCGGCTGGAAGGAAGAACAATTTGTGCCTGATTGGGGAATACTATGATGATCCAACTTATGCGTCTGCTTCTACTGATTAATATCTAAGGAAACTCGAAAAGTTCTCAATAATTACCTATTGTTGCTATAAGTGCTATTTTCACTTTTTTCTCAATCAGCCTTACCTGCTATGTTTATATATAAGGCCTTGTTTGGTTGGGGAGATTAGCCATTATTAACTAAATAATTGAGGACTTTGTTCGATGTTTGATATCCCCAATAACTTGACGGGTCGACCCGCAAATATAATGTTATCATAGATTATCTTGCCGTTTAGGAGGCTTTTGTACGTCCCGGGATCCAATAAAATAATTGTATTTTCATTAGATTATTTAATCTTATCTTGGTTAATCCTATCTTGCCAGCCAAACAAGGCCTAAGTCTTTCATTTCTATATATCAAATAGCTCAAATCTAGACTAAGAGGGTGTTTGGCTAAGCTTATTTTAAACAGCTGATAAGCTCTTACGTCTGATAAGATGTTTTTAGAGCTGATAAGCTGTTACATCTTATTTTTAGGATTAATTTTTAAAGTGTTTGGATAATAAGCTTATTTCCTATTTTTACTCATTATAAGATCTTAAATAAAAAGGTGGGGTAGAGGTATTTTTTAAAAAAAGATCTTATTTGCTCTCCAACGGCTTATTTTTTTAAAAATTAAGATCTTTTTTTTTAAATTTACCAAACACTTTGAAAGAGCTTATAAGCTCTAAAACATCTTATAAGCTCCTTTTAACATCTTCTAAGCTGAACCAAACACCCTATAATTGGAAAATCAAATAGCTCTAATCTAGACTAATTGGAAAATTATTTATTGGGTCCAATAACATAATTGGGTTTTAGTAAGATTGTTTAATTTTATCTTGGCTAATTGGGTTTTAATAAGATTATTTAATTTTATCTTATGAACAAAACGAGGCCCACAAATTCAATCATAAGGGTCGTATAAGAATGCCAACAGAATTCATCATTCGGAACAATAAAAGTAAAGCGTGTCGATAAAAAAAAATAAGGCTAGATTCTGAGATATAATACTGCTCCATCAAAAACACACCTGTGGCACTGATCCTGATTCGAAAAGTCTCCTTTTGTCCACCAAAACCCATTGAAATTCAGTTCGTCTGGAGGGTAAATCAGTAAATTGGGAAACCACCACCAGCATACTCGACTTCCTAGATACAAAAATTAATGAACCCGTAAGAGAATGTAAGTAGAGCAATAAAATAAAAATATGAAGATTAACACAAGTGTCAAACCTGAGCAGGAGGCAAGGATGAAACCCAGTCCGATACATGAGTTGGGAGAAGACCCAACGTGTTAAGCTGCCAAAACAAATTATAATAAAAAAAAAACTAAGAATAAAAAAGTCGAATAAAATTTTACAAAAGCTTCATAATTCTAAGAAAAAATGTTCGAGTATTTAACTTCCACAGAGATTGGAGAACCCACCTTATAGACACCAAGTCCTAACCCTACCAAATTAAGGGCGATATATACTAATTTAGGCACCACGAGATCCACTTTATTGTCCTTGTAAGGCGCAAACACTACAAATCAAAGCAATGATCGTCAGCATAGTCTAGTTATACGGAAGAATGATGGAAAATTGCATAAATCTAAGTGGTAACGCTATCATGATTGCTTAAGCTCAAAATTCAGACAACGGCATTCATTGCAAGAAATGGCGGCTGGGTAAATCTTACATGAGCATAACATAATAATATCTTGCGTACAGAGGTATAAAGTGTATAGCTACATCAGAATATGGCATCAAAAAGGTGAAGAACTACTGTATAGAAGATACACGAACACGAGCAACACACTCACATGCACACTAACACATATATACATAAAGGCATATCGGAAGATAATAATAAACGAACAGGTGCAATACCACAGCAACTAGAGTTGACTGTCAATCTATGAAAAGTATCGACTGAAAATACTGCTTACCACCGACAACCCCTCGAATCGCGTTTATGGGCTGAAGAAGAGCTGAAAATGTAATGCCGATGCTAAATAGATGAACTGTGCTTCCAGCCATCCACATCATGAAGGCCATCATGAATAAATTCTTAAAAGGCGCTTGTGCAACTTCCCATGCTTTCTGATTTCATAAATCAATATAATCGTGACTACGTGTATAAACAGTGAAACAAAAAAAAAAACCAAGAATCGATCACAAATTTAACAGAGGGACTGAATTAATAAAGATAACTCGAGATACTGCGACCGAAACAACAAAAACCCACCCAAAGATTGTAGCAGCTTCTAGACATAATCAAAACCCAAACTATAATTCAAAACTTAAAAAAAGAAACCAAAGAGAAGACTATGTATTCTAAGAGATGGGATTCTTCTTCTTGCAAAATATTCCGGCTAGAGAGATAGGTTTTGGGTGATTGGAGTTGTAGTAATTTTTTTAATAAGGTTATAAACGGAAAGCTGAAAAGGGGGGCAAACAGAGTATAGTTCAATTAACTGAAATTAAACACAGCCAATGCATTCATCTTATTTTATCAATTCAGATTCAGCTACTATGGATAAAGTTGAATCAAATCTAACTTAGGATATTAAATCAGCGTAATTTTAACCTGAGCTTTCCAGTTGGCTTCGGCGTCTTTCTTCTGTTTGCTGACGGCCGAATCATCCTGCGCAAAACAAAAAAAAAAAAAAAAAAAGGCAAATAAATTCGTGTCACAACAACAATACGACCACGAAACCTAAATCAAAACCTAAAAAAAAAATAGGTTGTACCTGTTCTAGGGATGCCCGAGTGAACCCTGGCGGATCGGCGATATCTCGCGATGAATGCGACGTGGAATTGTCTGTGAATTCAACAGCCCATCGCCGGCCGGCGCCCATTACTGATTTGCCCTTGTCCATTGTTATTCGTGAGAACAGGGTTTCAATTTGCTGTAAATTTCACACACAATCAGCGTGTGATTTCAGGGGAAGTGGGTTCTAGTATGCAGGATTCTACTCTACTTTGGACTTTAGATTTCAGATTGGGGCAAAGAAAAACAAATCTCAAAGGGGTTGTTTGGTTACGCAAATATAAATCCTTTCTATTTGCTTTTCTTTCTTTATTTTTTTTTTCTTTAAAAACAAAAAAAAAATGTAATTGTTAAATTACTAAAATTATATGATATGTGACATAATTTAATTAGATTACACTTGCATAATTCTATTAAACAATTCGAATATTACAATAGAACATCGATAAATCAATATTCGATAATTATATTTTACTAAATTAATAGTTCAAACTGTATTAATTTATATACTAAATTTTATGTTTATATGATGATATATAATAACTATATTGTTCATAATTTTTTTTATTTTCTTTAAATTTATATCCAATTAAACGTTAATTGCATTAAAAATGTAAAACAATATATCTTATATATAAAAGAAAGAAACGTTGGGCAACCCTAAAAAATCCTAATGGTATTTCTGTAATTATTTATTTTTTATGTACTAATTTTCAACAATTATCAATCTCCTATGTTTCATCAATATATCTCAAATCTTAATATATAAAGATAGAAATTCGATTTGTTAAATCTTTTTTTTTTTTTTGAGATAGATTTGTTAAATCTAAACCTATATATTTGGATTATAAATCTAAGATTTTAAAAAACTAATGTTATATAAAATAGGAGTAATATTACATTATTACTATATTAATATACAATATTTTCTTATTATGTATTAAATTGATTTTTTTTTTCACTTTTAAAATAATATCCCGTGCATCGCACGGGGAAAAAAATGCTAGTTTAGATTTAAATATATAATTATTGACGCAATCAGTTAAAAAGAAATTAGAAATATTTCATGCATACATATTTTTGTAGTTTATTATTATCTTAGTGTTAACACAGTAACATGACAGCTTAGAGCATCTCCAACCATGTGGTGTTTGGAGTGCTAAATGCTATAATTTCACAATTTTACCATTTATAAACTAAAAATCATGCTCCAACGGGAGAGCTATAATTTTGCTCACCACCTAAAATCTAAGATCGAGCTGGTATATATACCTGCTACTATTCACGCATGGTATATGATAAAATATTAAAATATTACATGACCCTACCATCCCACTAAATAAATGTAATAATTAAAGTCAAATAAATAAGTTATGGACGTGATAGTGAAAACCAAAATAAATACAGTGTATTTTGTATTTGTTATTTACATAAGATTTTATTTATTTATTTTTTTATTTTTATATTTATGGTTATTAAAACTTTGAATTGTTTTATATATATTCTAAATTTTTATGGTTATTAAAACTTGAATGGTTATATATATATTATAAATTTTATTTTCTATTGTACATATGTATAAGAAAAAAAATTGAGTACAGATAACTATTATAGTAGAATAGTTTAAAATTAATAAAATATAATAAAATGCTAAAATATAAATGATATGGTTGGAGAAGATAGTAAAAATTGAGTTGCTATTACACTGTTGGTGAGCTATAATAGATATAGCACTCATGTTTTTAACTCTCCACTTTGGAGATGCCCTTATATATAACAACATGGTATAAACTATATCAATTTACAATTGTATGACCACATTAGATACAATCTTTTTTACACACAGCTAACAGTATAATGAAGAGTGTCAAATCTCAATGATCCATCATCTTCTTTTACACGAAAACCTGTCCGAAATATTTGCGATAACAAATCCTGCAAAAACCTAAAAAAAAAAAAACCAAAAAAAAATCAGTAAAAATATTTTTCCAGGAAGTGAAAACTATCAAGAAAACAAGTAATAAACCACTCAAAAAAAATTGAAAATTTTGAAATATATAAAAATTAACACCTGAATGCATCCAAGAATATATATAACCGAATAATGTCGTTTGTGAACTAGCATATCAGCTACCATGGCTATCGGTATAGTCAACGACATGCCTAACGTTGCTACTAACGGAGTTGTCCACACCACAGAAAGTGCCCTGTTGCATTTTTCACCACATTTATCGAATTTCAATTACGACATTTTTTTTTTCAAGATTTATTAAAAAAAAAGCCCATACCATAGATAATCTGATAAAACACTTCCGACAAAGCCATTGAGCACGATAATTTCAGTAATCGAGGCTGAACTTGGCAACTTCAACTCAGGCTCGATTCCAAGCGCATTTAGTGGCCATGCTGAAAACAAACAAAAAAAAAAAAAATCAAAACCAATATTTTTAAATTATTTTACGATAAAAACATTTTGCAAATTAATTGAGTTATTTTTTGTTACCAAGCCACCATAGACCAAACAAAGTGAACAATCCTATGTATCCAAAGAATTTTTGTACGTCAACTTTGTCACCTTCCGATCCAGCAGATCGTTTAAGCAGCACTGCAAAAATACATACAAATATTTACGTAAGAGACTTCAATCGAGCCTTAATGTAATGGAATATAATAATTAATATAATATCATATATACCTGTAAATAATCCATAAAATACCGCAGAGAGAAGCCCAAAAATATCTCCCGTGATTGAATGCCGTCTTGTCCTAACAAACAAGATAAACCGGTCGTAAGTTTAACACTAAAGAAAATGATGGATGTTTTTTTTTTTTTTTTTGTAGACTTACTCAGCAACGCTAAAGATTTCATCCGGGGCCCACGTTTTTCCGAAAGTAGTCATCGCAACACCAGCCATACTAATTAAAACGGCCGCGATTTTTGCTGTATTTACAGATTCGCCCCCGATTAGTGCTCCGAAGAGAAGTGTAAATAGCCCTGAAGTTGAAGTCAACACGGTTGTGCTTGCAACACTCGTATAGGCTAGAGCAGAGTTCGATAAATACTGCAATAATTCACAATAGTCTATAATAGTCAATTCACAAAAACCCATAAAATATCCGAATAAAAACACGAAAGAAACGCTGAAAGATAATGTAAAACCACCTCTGTAATAAACCATACTGGAGCAAGAAAAAGGCTGCATTTGATTACTTCCCGCAAGCCAAGCTCGTGTCGGTTTTCAAGAACACGGTTTTCATCTTCTTGATTTTTAAACAGTAGTGGTTGTCCAGCTTCGGTTTCGGTTAAACTCATTTCTGTCATGAGGTAGCTCTTCAAAGCTATTTCTGGATCGTTATCTGTTTCGTCGAGTCTCGCTAATGAACTCGAGAGATTATTGATGCTGATTATTTCTTTAATCCATTTTTTGTCCAGTAATTTGTATATCAAATCTCGACACATTGCTATGGGGAGGTAGACCACCATTAGAGAGATCCACAGATACGTGAGTGCAAAAGGCTGTCTGTATTCGGTAAAAATCTTCTGCACAAGTTTGAAAAATGTCAATATTTCTTTTTATCATCCGATCGACTTCAAATTCGAAACCCGTCCATAACACACACACACACACACACACACACACACACACACACACACACACACACATATATATAGAAAGAACCACCTACAAGAACAGAACATCATCTGTAAACATTTGACATCTCATACAGAAAAAAGTCTTTCTGCAACTAAATTCGGGTTTCGGGTTTCGGTACAAATATATTAAAAAATTGATGAATTTTAACTAAAAATGGGGGGAAAATGGAAAATCAAGAAACCCTAAAAATTTGTTGGTTTCTGCTCTCTGCCCAAAATATAAACCCTAACATAAATTGATGTTCTACGAGCTACAGTAAAGATGAAGAACAGTTAACCCACCCGAAAATTAATACCCAAATGCAAATTTTAACTCAAACACAACAAAACGAATAAATAATTAAACATAAAAAATAGGCATAAAATTGACCTGTGTAATTTCTGCAGAAGTAACCCATATCAACACAAAAGCCCCAATCATACACAACCCAGCTCTATACCTCCAACCCATCATCCAAGAAATTAACCGCCAAAAACCCACTCAACTGTGTGAAATTTGTCGGTTAGTAATTCAAGAAATTAGAGGGGATGGATTATGAGTGGATGATCTTTACTTGAAGATACAGTAAAGATAAGTGCGTGCTTAATGCGGGAGGGTCTCGATTATCGAGAGTGCGTTGAATTGAAGAATTTTCAGTTTTGTTTTCGTTTGCTAATTTGGATTTGACTAGTCGTTAATTCGTTAAGCATCACACGTCGGAGTGCGTGTTCTGTGCGTTTATATAACTTTGAGAAAAAATATAGTTTTCATCCCTCAAGTTTGCATTAATTTCATATTTGGTCCTCCATGTTTACAAAAAATACATTTGGTCACTCATGTTTCGAACATTCGACATTTTTAGTCATTTCCGTTAAAACTAACGGAATTAAACGTGTGCCCATCACTGCTGTAACTGACGGAATAACGGTAAATCGACGAAAATGACAAAAAATGTTAGATTTTAGAAACATAAATGACCAAATGTGTTTTTTGTAAACATGAGGGCCAAATGTGGAATCGGTGCAAACTCGATGGATGTAAACTGTTTAATTGTTGTGTTTAAACTTGATTTAATAAGCAAATTGAGTTATGTTCGATTGAATTTTAATCAAACAGAACACAAATCAAACTCGAATAATTTGATTTCTTGTACATATTTTTTTATCTTCAGCTCGATCGAGTCGAGCATTTTAGTTTATTTGAACGAAAATAATTTTATCCAACTTAAGTACCGAGTAGTTTAATTTGATTTCCGGCCACATTTGTTATCATTCAACAAGCTTTTCGAGGGTTTCCTATCTCTACCAACTAAACTCATCTTGTTTTCATTTTACAATTTTCTAGTTCCATTTTTCGTACACAAATCATCGATTTATTACGCCTTTGATCTAAATTTTAGTCTTCGAAAAATGCTTTCAAAGCAGAATTTCCATCTATTATATACCACAAAAAATTAAAAAATATATATATATATATTAATAAATAAATAAAAAAGAAATACAAGGAGTGAAAATAGTAAATAGCAAGGAATTGGTGCTTTTAGCCACATGAGACTTCATTATTACACTATAATCAATCAACTCAGCTAGGATGAGTTGAAATTGTTACTACTCCAACTAACAATAAACCTCATTTTCTTTATAAAATAAAATAAAAAATATTATCCAGTAGCAGAGAAATAATTGCCAAGATATAACACTATCAAGTTGTGCAGTACTGAGATACAAGTTTTCTCTGTCTAACCAATGCATGAAGATCATGCACAATCTTAAACACGGCATCCGGCTTCGATAACCTCAACGCATTTTCCGACATTGTTAAAAGCTCGTGTTGTTTCGGACCAAACCACTCAAATACTATTTTCGCTATTTCTTTCGGAGACTTTGAGAATTTCCCACATCCGTTTTCAACGACATACGGAACATTCCCAGCTTCCTGCAATTATTATTATATAAAATATATATTAAATTGGATATAAATATGTTTATAGAAGGAATGTTCGAAGAATTTTTATTAACCTGTCCAGCTATGTAATCGTTTAGGATAATCGGAAGCCCCCGAATCATAGCCTCTGCAATTGTTCCTGGACCAGCCTGCGTAAAATAGTGAATTTTTCACTTCTTCACATTTTTACTCGATTTTTTTTTCATCGAATTTGAAAAATCAAGAACGGGTGAAATTTAATTTAAATTACTGCCCACGAGGCAATTATATATATACCTTAGTGATAATGCAATCACAAGCACCCATGCAATCCTCCATTTTAGTGACGAAGCCCTTCACCTAAATTGCAAAAGTACGAAATATTAGAAACTCAAAAGGCACACGACATATTAAATAATTCTTGAATTTTGTAAAAAGCATTATATATACCTCAACGGGGATCTTCCAATTAATTGATTGCAACTTGCTGGTTAATTTTTTATTCCGTCCACAAATTACGAGAATCTGACCAATCGGCTCTCCGTTAACTTCGTCAAATAACGCATCACCAAGTGCTCGAGCAGTTGCCTCAATGGGCCCCATGCCTTCACCTCCACCCATTAGCAACACTGCAGGGAGGTGTTCATCCATCCCCAGCTCCTTCCTCAATTCATCCTACAAAATTTCATATATTTATATATACATACATATAGTTAACAGAAAAATTTGCGTTTTTTTTTAATGATGCAAAAAAAAAAAAAAAAATCAACCTTGGGAGGAACAGGCTTAACGAACGAGGGTCGTACAGGAAGGCCATAGACCTTAATCTGAGGGCGCTGAATACCAGCTCTCACTGCTCGTTTTGCTACCTCTTCTGACGGGCAATAAATCCTTGTCACGAGCTTGTGAAACCTAATATGTGATGACTCAATAAATCAAATAACAAATAAATAAATAAAAAATAAAATCAAATGTAATCCACGCCGGACATACCATGTAGGATGGCACGTAGACAGGTCAGTTACCACTGTGGCGAAAACAATCTTCTTCAAAAGACCCTTGGCCCTCAAAATACGAAGCGGTACATGCTGCATTAGAGGATGTACGCTGATGATAATATCTGGCTGGTATTTCATTAATCCTTTAGCAACCTCCCTAGGAAAACGGAGATCAAGATTTTTGTCAGAATATTTTGCTGAACTGATATATGATGGGGGGGGGGGGGGGGGGGGGGGTTTATTCTTCCGAAAAAATTGAATATGAGGTATAACAATTGATAGGATTCATAAGTTATTACGGCTATTGGAACTTTATACGCAGTCCAATAGCTGAGATTTTAAGTTCGTAAGAGTTAATAACCCGCAATTACAACAGGCAAAAGGTTTTTCTTTCTGCAATTTGTTTGAAACACACAACGGGATTTTATGCATTTTACAAAGGTTTAAGGCACAACGAGTAACCTTATTTTCCACATTCCGCAAAGTTCATTAAACTGAAGTCATGTGTGCACAGAAGAAACCAATTTAAGCCTATACTATATGAACACAACTAAGTTTTAACGAATCAGTTACAACAAATACGCACATTCCTAACAATCAAAGAATATGCTTTGCATTATCACAGAAACAACTGGTACATATAACACAATGGTACGAGAAAGTTAGGAAAGTAGACTAACCGAGCTATGAAAGTAGAGGTAGCAGCAAAATTGGTCCGATGAATAACACGTGGAGCAGTAGCATAGTACGTCATTTTCCACAAAGTACCATGTTTCACGAGGAAGTTATAACTCTTCGGTAACTGGTTAAAGGGCCATGGTGTATGATCCGTCCATAAGTCAGTCACCGAAACCTGTAACAGAATCTCTTCAACACCACAGGAACATATCGAAAAAGTAAAAACATATTAAAATGCACGATAAAATACAATGCACCTTATCCCTAATTATCCCGAGAACAAAAAAAAGACAAGATTATCCACAATGCACGAAAATGGAAGACACGTTTGAGAAAGAAAACATATTCCAAATTCCATCAAAAAATGAACCTGATATTCATCTCCGAATTCTTCAGCAAAAGCGGCTTTAATGGCCTCGGCCGAAGCTCTATGCCCCCCTCCAGTATCGCTCATCAAAATCAAAACCCTTTTCGGAGAATTAGAAGCACCCGCATTGGTCGGAACTCCCTCGGAATCATCCAAAACCCCGTTTACATCGTCTTTACTCCCGTTACTCTCCTCGGAATCGACCCTAACCGAAGCGAAACCGAGTGGGATTCGCTCGCAGTGGAATCTAATAGCAGTATTGAATTGATTTATCGCACTTCTGATGTTGAATGCAGCACCTTTCGTGCTCAGGCTCAACGAAGCTGAAACCACCATGGGCTTCTTCTTGGCATCGAAGTACAGGCAATTCGACAAACACGTGGAGAGCACATCCGGATTGAGCCTAGAAGAATTGAATACGAAAGAGCCGAATTGGGATACAAAACCAAACGGATTCGCGGGCTCTTGCCCAACAGTAGAAGGCTGCATATTTGAATTCCCACCCCCTTATGTATCGACAAATGGGTTTTCTTCGAACCGTAAATAAGATTGGTTCTTGGATGTGCGACAACTCTTGTACACCAAGTGTTTGTAATTGTGCCTGAGAGAGAGAGAGAGACAGAAGCGAAGGAGGGGCGACGGAGAAGAAGAGAGAAACAAAATACGTATAGGTTTCTTATAGGTGGAGAAGCAGAGGGGAGGGAGGAGGGAATTTGAAGGGGGATTGGTAACCACAAAACTGATAAAGATAGCTTTTTTATTTTTTAATATATATACATAGATGAAGAGGATTTAGTAATATTCGAAGAGGGTTCAATAAAATCCTCTTTGATTATATATATAAATGTATGTATATATATATACGCACACATCGGCCATGACAGCCGACTGAAAATGAAGGAAAGACAAAAAGATAAGATCCAGTGTTTATTCTTTTTTCATTTGCGCTTTTAGTACTAACAATGCAGAGTCCTTTGGTTTTTCCTTTTTTTCCTATTTTACAATGGGCGGTGGTGGGATCGGAGGACGGTGGTGAATTCACGGCGGCGGCGGGTGGTGGACGGTGGACGGTGGCTCGGTGGTTAGTTTTGTTAACACGTTTTGGGCGTTGGGGGTTTAGCCCAACTATTCCCAATTGTGAGAGGGGGGTGAATTCTTGACCTAATTTTTATTTTCCTCTTTTGGGGGTTTAATTATTTTAATCAGGGACCAAACTGTGATTTACCCAATAGAGGGACTCTTTAGAACAGCTTTTCAGCTTCACACCTAATTTTGGAAAATTTTATTTTTTTATTAATCTTTTAATTTTTTTTGGCATTTGTATATCATATGTGAAATCTCACACGAGGTGTGTACTTATCAATTAATTGTGTTTCCCCTTTTTTAGGATCATATATGGATGGATGCTCCAGTCATCCTCGTTAGAGCAAGTAAATTTGTGTCGCTCGCATGGTTATAACTTAACTGGTTCCGTAGTGGTAAGTTGATGCAACGTCCTAAGATCGAATACTGATAACTACAGTGTGGAAATTTCAACTTCAATTAGGAATTGATTCCTTGTGGGCACTAGGTTCGGATACGCTACCCTAACGGACCGTTGAGTCACCATGATTTACATTTTTCCATCAAATACTTGTCGGGCTAAGGAATGGGGGGTCGTGGGGCGAGGAATTTTGTCTTTTGGTGTAAGTAAGTTTGTGTCAATTGCCTGAATTTTGAATTCCCTTGACAACGGTCGCTAGGTCAAACTCGTCACACGTAATTAACTTAAATATTATGCAAGTTATTACACGAGAGTATAGGTTTAACCAATTCACTTAAATGGTTGACTGCGAGTTCGTACGTTACCTAAAAAACGAGAGAGAGAAAATGCAATGACCCACTAATTTGGGAGAAATTAAATAGCCTCTATTGGACCTAAGACTAGGCCCATTAACACCATTGGGCTTTAGAAAACAAATCTAACACTCGTTGCATACCATTTTTTCACATATTAAAAAATTAAAACTAATAATATATTTGAATTATAGCAAAAAAAAAAGTAATTAATTAATTAAAATATCAATTAAGAACAATGATTAATCATTAATCCTCGGATTAAAATCACCAACTACATATACAGTTTTTTCTTTTTTTTTTTAGATAGCATAAAACAATTATATTTCTAATTGTGATTATAAATATCATTTATAAATTAAACTATGTGCAATTGGGACTCCATCCACACTCTAGACTTCGTGATTTGGAGAAGTCAACGGGAACAAAGTCAACAGCACAGGTATCTCCGCCTTCCCCGGCGACGCGTGCAAGTAAAACCCCTTCTCTGCAATGGCCCTCTCCTCCTCAGACGACGGCGGCGGCGGCGACTCGGTCCCGACTCGGTCGCGAAACACCGATTCACGCCCGAGTGGCGTGGTCGGCCCCTTTAAAACTGGCGGCGACCGAGTCTTCTTTCCGGTTGATCCCACGCGCTGTTTGATTATCTCGATATCCCCCACGGAGTACTTCCTCCGATCTTGTAGCTTGAACGGCGAACGCCGAGATGCGGCGGTCTTTGGGCGGAGCTTTTGGGCTGAGACTCCCGGTGCGCCGCCGGTGAGTTTCTGGACTAGGTCTTTGAAGGTGGCGGAGCTCGCTTGTATATAGTTAGTCGCCAGTGCTGCTGGCGGAGGAACCATCAACTCTTGATTTTCCATATATATATATATATATACAATAAATATGTATAATGTGTGTATAAATTACACACAGTGACAAGGGTAGTGTGTGTTATTTGATATGTTACTGGATACAAATATAGGAAAAGAAGAAGGGTTTGCAAGATTATATATATATATATATATATATATATATATATATATATATATATATATATATATTATTGAAAATGACTATTTTAATTTAATTTATATAAGATATAAACCGTGTAAACTTGGCACTAATTAAGAACTTTTCATTGTAATAATTAAAGACTAATATTACTCTGTTTTGTGGAATATATGTTGATTTGTGACTGAGCTTTAGTGCTTAGTCAAAGTCATAATAAAATATAACTTGAGTATATTTTTTGAATTAAAAATGACAAAATAAAGATTGAAAATTCAGTAAGTTCTTTAAAATTACATTTGGCTGCATGCACAAAGTATATATCCAAAGTAAGTGTCAAACGATGTTACTCTTGTAATTACCATTTGATTATTAATATATAAGAAGAAATTAAAGAGCCGTCAGAATAGATACAATTGTACGTTGTTGCATGGAGACAAAATTTCTCGAAAATAGTCCTCCAAGGGATGACCTAGAGTTCCATCGGAGCAAGAGAGCTTGTGTCAAAAAACTCAAGTTCGAGTTTTCTTGTCAGCAGTCACTAGGTCGAGCAGCTTGTCACACATGGTTAATTAGCCTAGTGTGATGTGCGTCTCTCGTATGGTTTGCAATTTATCATAAGAAATTGTAGTTCTACCCAATACACCTATACGATTGGCTGCAGATTCCATCGTTACAGGAAAAAAAAAAAAAAAAATTGACGTAGTAATTAATTTGAAGTCTTTGTTAATGTAAAAATTGTCAAATAAAAGAAGCACAAAGACGTGTTTGTTTTAATGGTATCTTCCCTTACTTCCTGGTGCTGCTGTCATTAAAATTGGAGTTTAATTTGACCCAATTCAAAATTAAATAAAAAATTAATAATCATTTCCATTAATTACAAATGAAACAACATTTTTGTCAACATTAAACAACGGAAAATTGTACAAGTCCAACATATAAGCCCTGATCGACAATCCACATTCATACTATTCATCCATGAACGACTAAATTATCGAACTAATGATTTAGTACATTTTTAAAGTGTCGTAATCGAAAGAAATTTGTTTATAAATAAAGTTATTAATTTATCGAAGTTTTACTGTGTGTGACGAGATACAACACTGCACTAGTTCACTCTACTCCTGATGATAGTTTTGTTTTTTTTTCTTTTTTTCTAAATAACTAAACAATGTTTGATAAAATATAAGTAATGATATCAAATATAAAATTTTAGAAAGAATGGGTTTTATTGAAATTATTCAAAGTCTTGAACATTTTCTTTTCATTCAAAATATATGGCTCTATTCTTCGTTTTATTCAAACTCAAATGTCATCAACTTAAATCCTTATATGCCTATATATATAAACTGATTTCACAAGCTTATAAGTCACAATCAACTTCATAAATCGTTTACATTTTATTTTATTTAGTGTTTGCATGCCAAAAAAAAATGCTCTTCTCCATAGTTTTTGCTCTCGTGGTCGGATTATTCGTCCACCTTTATGTTTCTCTCGTATTTAAGCCGCAAAACATTCGCAAAATCTTGAGGCAACAAGGACTTAATGGCCCCCCTCCAACAATCCTCGTCGGAAACCTACTCGAAATCAAGAAGTCTCGTGCAGCCGCTGCCGAGAAAACCCTCGTCCGCCACCCTCAATCGCCGCCACTCACCCACAACACCGCCGCCGTTTTTCCCTTTTTAGAGAATTGGAGAAATCAATACGGTATATATATATATATATACATACACGTACAAAAATATTCGATTTGTCTAAATATATATAATATAATGATTTTACGTATGCAGGTCCAGTGTACACGTTTTCGCTTGGTAAAACGCAAATAGTGTACGTGAGTAATCCCGATTTGGTGAAAGCGATAACCACGTCGACGTCACTCGATTTCGGGAGACCTTCTTACCAGCAGAAAGAACTCGGCCCTTTACTCGGACACGGCATTTTGACCTCGAATGGTTCCGTATGGGCTCGACAGAGGAAAATCATGGCTCCTCAATTATTCATGGACAAAGTCAAGGTATGCATACATATATATATGTAATAAAAATTATCAACATTAATTTCTTCAAATATTACGCGAATCGAATCGACAATTTTTTTTTACTATTACGTAGGGAATGATGAGCATAGTAACCGAGTCGGCTTTCACGGTGGTGAATTCATGGAGGAACAAAATCGAGGCTAACGATCATGGAGGAGGATTAGTTCTTGATATAGCGGTCGACGATTATATGAAACGATTTTCGGGCGACGTAATATCTAGAGCATGTTTTGGTAGTAGCTATTCCAAAGGGCAAGAGATTTTCTTGAAGCTTGGATCTCTCCAAGAGATTATATCAAAGAAAACAATGTCTATTGGCATTCCAGGATTAAGGTATAATTAATTAATTAATTAATTACTCACTAATTAATCTTAACTTAATTTCTTAATTCATGCATGTGAGATAGATATCTTCCTACAAAGAGCAATAGAAAAATATGGGAGTTAGAGAAAGAAATCAAAGGATTGATTTTAAAGGTGGTGAAGGAAAGAAGAGAAGGAGATGGATACGAGAAGGATCTATTGCAGAAGCTTCTAGAAGGTGCGAAGAGTGATTATGCTAACTCGGACGAGATCGATCGGTTCATTGTAGATAACTGCAGGAACATCTACTTGGCTGGTTTCGAGACATCCGCTGTCTCCGCTTCTTGGTGTCTCATGTTGTTGGCTTCGAATCCCGAGTGGCAAACATGTGTTAGAGACGAGGTTGTCGAAGTCTGTCAGGGTCGGATTCCCGACCCTGACATGCTCCGTAAGATGAAAAAGGTATGAATAATTAAAAATCGACCCTCCCTTATTTAATTTATCGCAATAATAATACTTCATAGCGAGCAATTTGTGAAAAAAAAAAAATATATTTTGAAGGTGGTCGTTACACTCGATTTACATGTGAATAGATTTTCATACAAATAAGATGATGAGTGGCGGAACCAGCATAGTACTATTGATTCTGAAAAATCTAATATTTTATATATAAATTTATTAAATTTTTTTAGTAGTGTAGTATTGTCGGCCGCCAGCATGGAGAATTTTTAATTTAGCATATATTTCACGGCAAAAAGATAAAATTACGGCTTCGCCACTAATTTTGAGATTTTGTAGTTGAATATGGTGATTCAAGAAACGATGCGCCTCTACCCTCCGGCACCTACCCTATCGAGGGAGGCGTTGAAAGATATAAACATAGGCGGTATACATGTCCCACGAGGCGTCGGTCTTTGGACAATGGTGTCCACACTGCATACGGACACCGACTTGTGGGGCCCAGACGCGCTCGAATTTAAACCTCAAAGGTTCGAGAATGGAATCGCCGGAGCATGCAAGAGCCCGAACTCGTACATGCCGTTCGGGTTCGGGCCTCGGGTCTGCATCGGTCAACACCTGGCTATGGTCGAGCTCAAGATGCTGATGTCACTCATTTTGTCTAGTTTCTCCTTCACTCTCTCTCCTAAATATGTGCACTCACCAGTTATGAGGATGATGGTAGAGCCTAAGTATGGAGTTGACATTTTGATCAAGAAGCTGTGAGATAGATTGAAATTATGGAAGCTGTTTTCTCACTGTTTATTTTTCAAAAAAAAAATTATTTTTTTTGTTTGGATAATTAATTACGTTTAGAATAATCTTAGGCCTCGTTTGGTTGACTGGATAAGATTAAATAATGGAAAATTACATTTTTACCCCTAAAGTTTGTATCGATTATATATTTGGTCCCATATGTTCATAGAAAACACAAGTGGCCCCTCCTCATCTTTCAATAATTTAACATTTTTTGTCATTTTCGTCAATTTACCGTTAGTTTGTCAGTTAAGGCAGTTATGGGCACACGATTGAATCTGTTAGTGCTAACAGGAAAATGACGAAAATGAATAAAAATATTGAATTTTTTAAACATAAAGGACCAAATGTATTTTTTATGAACATGGTGGATCAAATGTGAACTAATACAAATTTGAAGGATGAAAACTGAAAACTGTATTTTTCCCATTAAATAATTTAATGAAAATTGTGCAAGCTAAGTCAATGCATCTAAACATGGGCAATTATTACTATTGCTACAACTTCTAGAGATAGGCAAGGCTATATACTCTATAGTAACGCCTTGTGATCTAAAAAAATCTCTTATAAATTCGATGGAGATTAGGTTAAAAGTCATAAGTAGCAATTATATTTTCAATAACGTCATTAATAACTATAAGAATTAAGTACATAGTTGGATTATATATTGAGCTAAGTCACAATTCACTTTGTGAATGAATCATTGCATTTATACATATATATAGTGTTTGCATGCCAAAAAAAAAAGATGTTCTTCTCCATAATTCTTGCTCTTGTGCTAGGATTTTTAGCCTACCTCTATGCTTCTCTCGTTATTAAGCCCCGAAAAATACGAAAAATCTTGAGGCAACAAGGAATCGATGGGCCCCCTCCGAAAATCCTCGTCGGAAACATACTCGAAATCAAGAAAGCTATTGATGCTGCCGAAAAAACCTTCCTCCACCGTCCTCAACCGCCACCTCTCATCCACGACACCGCCACCGTTTTCCCGTTTTTAGAGCAGTGGAGAAAGCAATACGGTATATGCATAGTTACACGGCTTATTGGTACCTACACCTAGTGAACTTGGTCTCAAAAGCCTAGTTATGCATGCGCACAAAAAGAAAAAAAAATTGATTTATCTAAATATATATGTAATATGATACTATGTATAAAATGATCTTGCGTATATATGTATACAGGTCCAGTATACGCGTTTTCTCTCGGTAAAATGCAAATAGTGTACGTGAATGATCCCGATTTGGTGAAAGAGATAGCCACGTCCACGTCGATGGATTTAGGGAAACCTTCTTACCAGCAGACAGAACTCGGCCCTTTACTCGGACATGGCATTTTGACCTTGAATGGTTCCGTATGGGCTCGACAGAGGAAAATCATGGCTCCTCAATTATTCATGGACAAAGTCAAGGTATAAATTAAGTAGATCTACGCTAACTTCTTCAAAGACCATATACGATTCTATTTTATCACACGATTCAACGGTTTAATAATGACGTAGGGAATGATGAGCATAATTACCGAGTCAGCTCTTACGTTGGTGAATTCTTGGAATGATATAATCGAGGCAAACGAAGGTGGATCAACAGCCGTTGATATCTCCGTCGACGACTATCTGAAAAAAATCTCGGGTGACTTAATATCTAGAGCTTGTTTTGGTGGTAGCTATTCCAAAGGGGAAGAGATTTTCTTGAAGCTTGAGTCACTCCAAGAGTTTATATCCAAAAAGGCAATGTCTATTGGCATTCCAGGATTAAGGTATGATTAACTAATTAATTACTTTCACTAATTAATCTTAACTTAAAAGTATGGTTGTCTTAATTCATGCATGTGTGATAGATATCTTCCTACAAAGAGCAATAGAAAAATATGGGAGCTAGAGAAAGAAATCAAAGAATTGATCTTGAAGGTGGTAAAGGAAAGAAGAGAAGGAGATGGATATGAGAAGGATCTATTGCAGAAGCTTCTAGAAGGTGCGAAGAGTGATTATGCTACCTCGGACGAGATCAACCGTTTCATTGTAGATAACTGCAAGAACATCTACTTGGCTGGTTTCCAGACATCCGCAGTCTCCGCGTCCTGGTGTCTCATGTTGTTGGCTTCGAATCCCAAATGGCAAACACGTGTTAGAGATGAGGTTGTTGAAGTATGTCAGGGTCAAATCCCCGACCTTGACATGCTTCGTAAGATGAAAAAGGTACATATATAAAACTCTTTTATATATGTAGTTTAAGCATCTATTTGACACCGCAGAATATAAAATCCTGACTCGGTGACTTGACTGAAGATGGGCTCGGTAATTTTGAAATTTTGTTATTGGTTTTATAGTTGAACATGGTGATTCAAGAGACGTTGCGCCTTTACCCTCCGGCACCTACCCTGTCGAGGGAGGCGTTGGAAGACATGCAGATAGGCGATTTGTGGGTCCCACAGGGCGTCATTCTCTGGACAATGGTGGCGACGTTGCATACAGACACCGACACGTGGGGACCGGACGCACTCGAATTTAAACCTCAGAGGTTCAAGAACGGGATCGTTGGAGCTTGCAAAAGCCCGAGCTCGTACATGCCGTTTGGGTACGGGCCACGGGTCTGCATCGGTCAACAGCTGGCTATGGTCGAGCTCAAGTTGCTGATGTCACTTATTTTGTCTAGTTTCTCCTTCACTCTCTCTCCTAAATATGTACACTCCCCAGTTATGACTATCATCGTAGAGCCTAAGCATGGAGTTAACATTTTGATTAAGAAGCTGTGAGATGTCATCACCTATGGGAAATAAGGAATCTGTTTCCATCTCTTTATATTAAAATAACACTCTTTTACCATACTAAATAAATGTTTAAGAATTCTCACGGGTTTTCGCAGCATGAATCTGCAGAAGAGAAACTATTTGCTGTATGCTGCCACATGGTAAAACATCTATCTTCAGTCGTCACTCGTCAGTTGCTTTGGACAATTGCAGAAAACAACAGCTGGTTGATATCGTTAGAGCCTGGCTCCTCCTCATCCTCTGCATAATTCACAATTTTATGAAATTACGAATCGTTGCCGGTTATATATATATATATATATATATATATATATATATATATATATATAGCATGAAAAAGGAAGCAATTCTGACAAAATCAAATGAACAAGTATTCCTAAGCTTCAAATTAAACTTCTCATTTATGTAAATAATAAGCATCAACAAACAGTACAACTACATTGGATATATAACCTTTGTCGGTTAAGTGTACTATTTTTCGGTGCTTCTCATTAAAACTTCACACCAAATACTACTACGTTTCTTAGTTGACATTCACTCCGCATTTATAACTGAATTTGTTTGGCAGATAATGTAGAAAAAGGCACAACAGAAGTAACTTACCTTTACTGGATTTTACTTGCATCGCCCACTCATCAATAATCTGTACATCACAAAGAAACAATTAAATTAAATAAAAGCCACAAAGAAGGCCAATATTTTGTAGAGAGGCCAGCGGGAAGGAAGCATTGCAGCAAATACTTATGACGCAATGACAAACATCCTAAAACCTCGCCTCTTTACTTTTGGTTGTTTGCTGGCAAATGGTGCAAACTCTTGAAACACCATTCGGAAAATTGCAACCAATAAAACCTTGAATAAAAAATTTAACATTCTACACACACACAAAAAGATCCACTAGCTTCTAATAAGTGGTCTCCTTTATCTTCAAAAAGAAAAAAAAAAAAAACCAAAGTAAAGAGTATTCCTATAAGCTTACCTGATTGAAGCTTAGATAAGCAGAATCATCTTCATCACTTGTTGTGGGACCACCGGTGGATGCTTGCAACCTCTGCAGCATTGTCCTGTTTCCGACTAAGAGCGTTCTAGCTTTATCAATTAGATCCTGCAGATTAAAATTTTCAAAAAAAAAATTCTAAGCATATGAATTATTGAATCCTAGAAATTTGACGTACAGGAAGAAGCTTAACTACAAATGCTCAAATGGTATGGCATGAACAGGTTACTGAAATGCAAAGACCTCGTAAAAGGCAGGTGTCTTCTCAAACAAAGGTTGAAATAAGTGAACATACTGCCTACCATAAAAAAAAGTAGTAAACACAAATCATAAAAAAGCAAACCTACACCACTAACACATACACGAAACGTATCCCGTGAAAGAAAATCAAGAGTTTAGAGCCATTTACGCCATCTAATACTTCACCAGTTCACCTGTTGAAGATTGACAATTGAAATTCAGACATATTTTTAGCCATAATGAAGCAATTTGGGTAGAATATTTATCTGCCCTAATTATTAAATATGCTCAATACCAAAAAATAGAAGCATAAGAACACAAACCTTAATCATCACACAAATACTACGACATTGCAGAATTCTGTAATCGTATATTATATACCATGTAAAAAGAGTAAACCCAATAATGAAAACAATCCCTCCAATTTTGTCACCGAAATAATGAAACGCAGCCAGCGAAAGAAAATCAAAGGTTTAGAGCCATTTATGTCATGTAATACTTAACCTGTTGAAGATTGACAATTGAAACTACGACATACTTTTAGCCAGAACTCAGCAATTAGGGCAATTTTTTCTATCATCTTAGTTACTAAATATTCTCAGCACAAAAAACTCGGAAGCATATGAACACAGACCTTATTCATTACACAAATACTATGTCATTGCCATAATTCAGATTAAAAAACCAGCAACACAGAATAAATTTTCACATGTTCAGTCACCTGTTTTGCAGTAAGAAGCTCGGTACACTGATCCTTCAAGGACGACATTTCTTCTTCTATCTTCTTCAACCTCGCCACCAGCTTCATTGGATTTGCCTGTAAAAAACGGAAAAAAACAAACAATTAAAAAAAAATCACAATTCTCAAATCATTTACACAATCCAGGGAAATAATTAAGAAGAGGAGTAGGGCAAAGTAAAAAGGGGGTAAAACAGAAGGCAGAGAATTGAGCAAAAATTACATGGTCGGGGTAGATTTGCTGGAATTCCTTGTGGAGCTTGCTGTGTACTTCTGAGAGATCTCGATTGGCTTTTAAGAACAGGCTCTGAAGTCCGTCCACCGCTTGGTTCCGCTCCATTCTTCTTCTTCTTCTTCTCCACCCACACAAAACACAACCGACTTTTCTCTCTCTACCTCTTAATCTCCGTCGTACGCACAAACAGCCTGCTAATTTTGATGGATTTTTGTACAATTGGTAATCTGCAAAATAAGTCTACTTACAGAAATTTAAAATGAATCGGAAGGAATTTGGGGGGAGAGAGAGAGAGAGAGAGAGAAGAACAGAGGAAATTTGAACAGAGAGAGGGTAACTTTTGGCACGCTTATTCATCCTAGCGCGTGTAAAACACCTCCACGCGCTTGACTTCCGTTTTCCATTATTTTGGACCTGATAAAATGAAGTGGGCTTGCCTAACTCCCCAGCCCAAGTCGCAATGACCGTCAAATGTAATTAGCCCATTTACCGTAGCTGAAACGACGTCGTCACAGTACTTATCCAATTCCCAAAATGCCCCCATCTTCTCCAAAATTCGAACCTAGTTTTTTCCCTTTAAATACTTTAATTTTGTAAAACGAGTTGTTCTTCTAATATTTATTATTTTATTGGGGTAATTTGAATAATAATCTTGCACCCTCTATTTTATTGTAATAGTAAATAAGTAATATAGAGATTATTATTTATTTTAAATACTTACCTAATACTCATAAATTGGAATACACTTTTTCGAATTTCACCAATTGAAAAAAAATTGTTTCAAAATCAGATATTTTGATCATAATCAACAGAATTCCAAACTACTATTTGTTTATTTACATCTCTAATATAAGATAATAAAATAAATAATAATGTTGATGTCAAAAAAGTAATTTTTGTAAAAGAAAAATCCAAAATTTTGAATTTATTTTCAAAATATGAAAAATGGATACTGAATTTATATTTCTTCCTATCTTTATTTATTATTTATTCACTGAACTTGGTTAAATGGCTAAATTAGTAACTTTCAAATTTCATATAAAATAAAGGGTAATTTGGTAATCAACCACAAAACCCAGACCTATATAAATCCACGAAGCTGAAAAGATTCGCAGACCTGAGAATTCAGATTCCAATGGCGGTGACGCAAAAATCCGACGGCGATTCGAAACAACCGGTACGCCAATATTCCAATCACTCCTCTCCAATTCCATATTATTTTCCGAATTTAATTTATAGCAGGAAATTTGCATGTGAACTGCTATCGATTTATTTTGAATTTGGGCGTTATAATTGTAAATTCAATAAATTAGAAGTATTTAGTCAAATACACTATGCATTGTGTGTATACTATGTGCTATTTTTTTCAAAAGTGAGTTGTGCCGTATATCTATTGCCAATTGTATTGAAAAATTCAGTTATTGCTTCTCACCATAGCTTGAAACCACTCAGATTAAGGAATGTTGTGATGCCGAAAAATTTGCCCTTTGGTAGAGCTATTTGCGCCGATTTAAACCGTAATTCGCTGCTCGATTTTTTTCGTAGAAAAAAGTTGGAGTCTTTAAATTTGTGACTGTGAGTATTTTTAATATATATATGTCGTTTGTTTTGCAGAAAGAAAGATGCCAATCTGGACAAAGTGCGATCAATAAGGATGTTTGTGGAATGGCTAAAAGTTACAAACTGAGGAGAAAGAGAAATAGAAGCAACGAATCCGATAGCCTCTCCGATATCGATGATGCTGAGGTACGTCGTCTTTTTTTTTTTTTTTTTTTTTTTTTAGTGATGGTTGAATTGCTTTTAGTTGGGATTTTTTGTATACGTGTGTTATATGCTAATAGTGACTTTGCTTCGACGTATAACGAGATTATGTTTAATAATAATGTTCAGGTTTCTGGATACCTTAACACCACAGAGGAGTTCCACTTGAAAAAGATTATGTGGGAAGCAATGAATCGGAATCATACACAAGTACTTACCTTATTTCCATAACAACTTTCTTGATTTTTCGACAAACATTTTTCGTTTTTCTTTAATTGCTAACGGGTAATACATTTCAGGCCAAGAAACAGAAACGAAAACCCGAAAAAAAGAAAGATGTCTCTGTTAAGGAAGCTGCTGCTAAGACCACCAAGGAAGTGGAGGTCCCGGTAATATAAATTAGTTTTCGTATAGTACTTAAAGACACTTAAGCAATGTATCTATTTAATACGAACTTCCGATATATGTCGTCTTATACATTTTCATAACATGAATTCTGTTCTCGCAGAAACGGAGCTCGAAGATTAACTATGATGCTCTAAAACTCCTTAACGATGAGTTGGTAAGTACTTTGTTAGACTCGCTTTTATTTAAGAATTAGGACTCTTATCTTCTTTAAACTCGTTTTCGAAAAGACCCTCGTTTAGAAAATGCATGCAGGATTGCATATGTTTATTTGAACTTATATATCTTTACAAGGATCAAGAAGGTTGTGAAACGGCTGGGATTATTCCGGAAGATTCTTATGCTCGTAGAACTGAGGATTCGTCAGATCGAAATATCGGCCATGGATCTAATGAGAGCAGTTATTATGAAGATGATCAAACTTTTGGTGGTGATGACAATGAGACGTATTACGAAAGCGAGGAAGAACGTCTCGATTTTGATGAATGTTGGTAAAATTGAAGGGTATCAGTCATGAGAATTTTGTGCTAATACTTCATTTATGAAATTGGATTTCTATATAATCTTTACAAACCAAGAAGAGTGCGGCGTTTAACGACAACGACTTTGAATTCGTTGTCAGTACTTTCTACTCAATTTTGTTCACCTAAAAAAAAATTTGATTTTTGTAATTCAAAACCAAGTCTAGTACAATGCCATTTAATATCCAAATATAGAATTATAATTATCTGAAAACGAATTTAGTATGGAGGCGAAAATAATAAAAAAAAGTTGGCAGCGACTATTTGCAAGACGAAATTTACTTAGTGCAAGACCAATTTAATTTTTTTTATTAAATTCAGTATAAAAAGACTATAATAACCTTAATAAAATACAAACAAAAAAATAATATTTTATTAATTTTCTTTTCCAAGACCAATTTAAAAAAAAATTAATAAAACAAAAAGAAAAAAGAAATTGAATTGACAAAATCAAAACGAGGAGGGAAGATTGAAGAAAACAAAAAAAATCAATTGCAGCAAAAAACCGTTCGTCGCCCCGTCGCTCGCCGCCCCGTCGCCGTCGCCCCATCGTCGTCGCCGTCGCCGTTGCCCCGTCGTCGTCGCCGTCGCCGTTGAAGTCCACCGCCGTCGCTCGTCGCGTTGAACTCCGTTGTTGCCCCAACCCCGCCACAACAATCTCACGAAAAACAAGTAAAAATTACTTTTTGAATTAATTTTTTTTTTGAGAAATAAATGTGATAAACATGATTTTATTGTTAGAATAATGAATTCAAGTCGTTTTAGAACATAGTTGATGATTCTAGGGTTCGATTGTAGCACTATTGTTGAAGGAGTTGCGGTTTTACAAAAATCGACCTGTACTTGTCGTTTTTGTGGAAAATTTTCGACACACTGGCGTCGAAATATCCGCTTAATATCGACACCAGAATGTCGATAATTTCAATATAATTCGACAGTTAATGAGTGTCAAATTATTTTGACATTTTCGACACTGCAGTGTCGATATAAAGCTGATATTTCGACCTGTACATGTCGATTTTTTTGTACGTGAAATGAGGTGCGAAAAACGAGAAAAACGATCACAAAGTACAATATTTCTTACCTCTTTGTGTTCTTCGACCTTAGAATCCTCCATATTTATGTCTTGTGTATCCATAATGTCCTTCTTTTCAAGTTTTAGTAAGATTTGAGGGTTTTATGTGATAAGGGTTTTGGAGAATATGGAAGATTTTTTTGTGGAAAAAAATGTGTAAAATGAGGGTGAAGAAGAAGATGTTGGTGTTTTGTTGGGTGAGTGAGTTCCCTCTCTTTTTTCTTTTTCTTTTTTATTCTTTTTTTTTTGTATTTTTTTTTTGGTCTTGCAATAGCAATTAACTTAATTTAAATTAATAATATCTAAATTATTATTGGGGTTATATTTGTAATTTCCAGTCTTGATCTTAGTAAATTTATTTATATTTTGGTCTTGCATGAAGTAAGGTCTTGCACTTAGTAATTTTCGTCTTGCAAATATCTGCAACCAAAAAAGTTTTCATCCCTTAAGTTTGCAATGATTTCACATTTAGTTCCTCATGTTAACAAAAACCACATTTGATCCCCTCGTGGTTCAAAAATTCAGTATTTTTGGTCATTTCGTCAAATTTCGGCAAGTATGGAGACAAAGGGGCAGATTACAGTTTTCACCCCCAAGTTTGCACTGATTTCATTTTTAGTCCTTCATGTTCAAAAAAACCACATTTGATCCCTCATGTTTCAAAAATTCAACATTTTTTGTAATTTTCGTCAATTTTTCGTTAGTACTAACAGAATCAAGCATGTATCCATCGTTTCCTTAACTGATGAACTATCGGTGAATTGGCGAAAATGATTAAAAATGTTAAATTATTGACACATGAGGGACCAAATGTGTTTTTTGTGAACATAGGGGATCAAATATGGAATCAGTGCAAACTTAAGGGGAGAAAACTGTAATTTTACAAAATACTTTGATGAAATTTCTTGTTCAAAGACTTGAATAATACAACGAGTGGACAGAATTCGCACACGTGAATTGGAGAATTGGAGAAGAAGAAGACAAAAAAAATGCAGCTGATTTATTATTTCACACTTGGAAGCAACCACAGCCCTCTCAAATGGCGCTCTTACAACTCTCACAGCCATTCCTCTCCGATGTGAAGAACCCTAATTTCTCACAGATCAACAAAACACTCAAGAAACCAACAACGATTCTGATTGGGCGAACAAAACCCTTTCTGCTTCATCAGCTGAAGAAGAAGAAAAACTGGCAGAAATTGAGCGCACTAGCCGAAGAAATCTCAACTGGGTTGCAGGAAGAAGGTGATCAGAGTGTAATTGAAGAAGTAATTGGGAAGAAAGAAGAAGCTGTGAGCTATGATTGGACGGAAGAATGGTACCCACTTTATCTTACCCAAAATATCCCTGATGACTCGCCGCTTGGACTCACTGTGTTCGACAAGCAGGTTGTGCTTTACAGAGATGGTGATGGTGATCTTTGGTGCTACGAAGATCGTTGCCCCCACAGGTAATTTTTTCTTTATTTTAATTATTTTTTTTAATTATTTTTTGTTGAAATCAGTGATCTTTGGTTACCTTATTGTGTTCTGCACTTAAACTCTAACATTTTCTTCTACTAGTTATATAAATTTTATGACATGCATTTTCGTTTTGTAATAAGGGTTGTATCTTGGGGTGGAAAGTGGAATGGAATTTCCTATTTCCATCGATTCGATCCGAAAAAATTTCCGATTTTGGAACAATATTTGTCATTCCGAATTCTGAAATTTCGATTTGCATTCTTTCCGTTTTTTGTTTTTTTGGATTAGAATTAGAGTATATGTCCGGTTTTCGATCGAGCTTTACTTTACAAAATAATTCTGAAAATTCCGGAGAAAAAATTCCCGAAAATTACACTGAAAATGTCAAAATTGTTATGTATTTTACATTTTAGGTTACTAAAAGTCGGAACTTTCCGAACTCCGCCATTCGGAACAAGTTTTTTTCATTCCAATTTCCGATTTTTCCAATTTTTGTTTTGAACCGAATTGGAATTTGTTTTTCACTTCTGAAAAAAAAAATTGGAATTTTTCCGCTAGTGATTAATCCGATCCGATCCAATCCGTCCGATTTCCAACCCTAGTTGTGTCTGATTTCCGCTGCGAAAAATAATTGTTTTGTTGCTACGCAGTTAGTTTACCCTGATAAGCTTCATAGCCTTTGGATAAAAAAGTATTCATCTTGTAGGCTAGCGAAACTCTCCGAAGGTCAAATCTTCGACGGTAGGCTCGAATGTTTGTACCACGGTTGGCAATTCGAAGGCAACGGTAAATGCGTGAAAATTCCACAGGTTTGTATTTTTACCCGGTTTTTCAAAATCCATTATTTCATATGATAATCATTGCCTTTCTCAATAATATTTTTTCGAACAGCTTTCGACAGGTGCGAAAATCCCTCAATCAGCTTGTCTGAAAACATACGAAATCAAAGACTCGCAGGGAGTCGTATGGATTTGGATGTCTCACAAAACCCCGTCAAACACAAAAAAAATCCCGTTTTTCGAAAATTTCGATCGGCCCGGTTTTCGAGATATTTCCACCATACACGAACTCCCATATGATCATTCAATCCTTCTAGAAAACCTAATGGACCCCGCCCATGTTCCCATTTCACACGACAGAACAGATTTCACCGCAAAACGAGAAGACGCAACTTCACTTTTCTTCGAAGTCACCGAAAGAAACGAACGAGGCTTTGCGGGCAACTGGGGCAGAGAAAGAGACCGTTCTACCCCTGATTACATACCGAATTTCTTGAGATTCGAAGCACCTTGTGTACTTCAAAACAACCGAGAAATTGTCGGCAAAAATGGAGAAAGAGACTACTTTTCGGGGTTGTTTTTATGTAGACCGTCCGGACAAGGGAAATCTATGCTTATAGTTAGATTCGGAAACACGAGAAAGCCTCCGCCTCTATTGAGAATATTCCCAAAGTGGTACTTCCATCAAAATGCGAGTAAAGTCTTCGAGCAAGATATGGGCTTTCTTTCCTCGCAAAACGAGATTCTCTTGAAAGAGAAACTTCCGACAAGAGAGCTTTACATTAATTTGAAGTCTTCGGACACATGGGTTTCCGAGTACAGAAAATGGATGGACAAAGTCGGGCATGGAATGCCGTACTATTTCGGGCATAGCACGATTTCTCTGCCGGAAAATCCGGCGGTGGTGGAGCATGCTCCGGCGGGTTTCGTTGCCAACTTCTCGGCTTCTCAGCCAGCAAAGGGCGGCATCGGAGCGATGTACGCTCCGAATCCGGCGAACAGGTATTTTCGACACGTGGTTCATTGTAAAGGGTGCATGGGGGTATTAAAGTCTTTTACCGCTTGGAAAAAGGGGCTCTTGTTGGCGGCTCTTGTACTGGCGGCAACGGCGATTCTTGTCTCCGGCAGGCAGTGGAAGGCGCTTCTGTTGGTTTCCACCGCCCTGTGCTTGGCCGGAGTTCAGATTTGTTCGACTGCGATTTCGATGAACACTACAAACTTCATCAGGACTCATAGAAGGCTGTAGAATGTATGTTATTTTTGATCCCTTCTCTCAGTTTGTTATTATTACATTTACATTTATATAATTCAAGCTTGTAATTTTATTAATTAAACTACATAATGTAATGTTTTAGACATCATTATTAATATATATATATATAAATAAAAATAAAAAATGACACGTGGGACTAGCAAATAGGGACAATATCTTGACTCAAAGTCAATCATGTTGCAAAGTGCAATGAATTTAATTAGGTTTTCTGACAATGTAATGAAGATATATACTAATATAGCCAACTCCCACCCACCTGAACTCCATTTTTCCAGAAAATAATTAAATAATAAATGGAAATAAATTGAAAAAAATAAATAATAAATGGAAATAAATAGACAAATCAAGAAAGAGATGAAGAGCATTCACTGAGTATTATTACCTAGCAGCCCCACTCCCCTTGTCTATGTAGAATTCATTATTCAACCAGCACATCATTATTCAAATAAATGCATCTTAAATAAATAAATGGGTAAACTACGGAATTACGAAAAACCCCTCATGTTTGGATAATTACAACCACCCCCTCAACTATAAATTTTCTTACACATTCACCCTTATGAAGTAAAACTCAACAAAATCTTTTAGATTCCGTGGAAATGTTGTCTAGTTTGTACTCGTTTTGTGCTAAAATGTCGTATATGATGCACCACAATCTGGTATTTACAAGCCAAGAAACACATTTATGATAATTTTGTTTCAAAATGTGAAGCTCGAATGTGGTAAAACGGGTACAAACTGGAGAATATTCCTCATAACCTAAAAGATTCCACTAAATTTGACACTAGAACGGTGGACGTGTTAAAAGATTCATAGTTTAGAAGGGTGATTGTAAATTACCCAAATATGAAGGGGTCTTTTCGTAATTTAACGTTACCTAAGGGGTGACCTGATTTTAACCATAAATAAATGAATAAGGAATGCAGGAGAGTATCTATGTATTTTAAAGTTTAACTACTTTTCATACAATAAAGAGCTAACATCCAAACTAGGCTGCAGAAAACTCACCTCACCTCAAAGAATAATCATTCTTGGCAAAAAATCAATTATGGAAAAAATAAAATTTAGTGTCTGCACTTCAATTTCTCAGTACAAGCTACTAATGCAGCTGCTCTGTTTTATCATCCTTTTTCTAGCTACATTTCCTCCTTCTTCTTCTTCTAGTCTCTCTTTCGATTTCTACACACTTTCTTGCCCCGTTGTCGAATTAACGGTGAAAAATACAGTCAGATCAGCTTCTGATGTGGACCCCACAATCCCCGGAAAACTCCTCCGTCTGCTCTTCCATGACTGCTTCGTCAACGTATAGTTTATTACCAATCTCTCTCTCTCTCTCTCTCTCTCTCTCTCTCTCTCTCTCTCTCTCTCTCTCTCTCTCTCTCTCTCTCTCTCTCTCTCTCTCTCTCTCTCTCTCTCTCATGCTTCTTACATACATTTAACTATTTTGTTTTAACAGGGCTGTGATGCTTCTGTGTTATTACAAGGAAATGCAACCGAAAGAAGTGATCCAGCTAACCAATCACTCGGCGGGTTTTCGGTTATAGATTCAGCAAAGAGAGTTCTTGAAATCTTTTGCCCTGGAACAGTTTCTTGTGCTGATATACTAGCATTGGCTGCTCGAGACGCAGTCGAATTTGTATGTATTTATCGCAAAGATTCGATTTTTATTCAATTATTAGTCTTGAAACATGCATATGTGTATCGGGGTTTTATTCGTAATTTTTTTCAATTACAGACAGGAGGGCCGAATATTCAGATTCCGACAGGTCGGAAAGACGGTCGGATTTCCATGGCAGCAAACGTGAGACCGAATATTATAGACACAAGCTTCACATTGGATGAAATGATCAAGATCTTTTCTGCTAAGGGCTTATCTATAGATGACCTTGTTACCCTCTCCGGTATACAATCTTTAGCCCCCAACTTTTCGTTTAACAAGGGCAAAATCGGAAAGAAAAAAAAAGAATTACGTTTTTTTTATTTTTTGTTGCAGGAGCTCACACAATTGGAAGATCGCATTGCGGTTCGTTCAACGATAGGTTTAAGGTCGACTCGAATGGAAATCTTACGTTGATCGATTTATCATTGGATAGACAATATGCAACTCAGCTAATGAAAATGTGTCCTAATAATAATAACGATAGAGTGACGGTGAACAACGATCCTTCTTCGCCTCTACAATTCGATAATGCGTACTTCAAGATTTTGCTGGCTCACAAGGGGCTTTTCCAATCGGATTCTGCGCTGTTAAATGACGAGAGAACGAAGAATCGAGTGGTGGAATTCGCTAATAGTCAAGATAGTTTCTTTGAGCGATGGAGTTCGTCTTTTTTGAAGCTTTCGAGTGTCGGAGTGAAGACGGGTGGCGAGGGCGAAATTCGACAATCTTGTTCGATGTCTAATACCTAGACGAATTTTTATTTATTTATTTATTTTGTTTTCCTTTTCGGGTTTTGAGTCTTGTTTACATAGTAGCTAGAAATTGTGGCATTGTTGATTGGATCATATGACTATATATATATATATATATGGAAAAATTTGTGTTGAACTTGGTTAGTTTGAGTTTTTGTAGTATTCGTTGGTCTGTTCTATGCTATATCGGGTAGATTTTTACCATTCATACACATACACACACATTAATGTGTGTAGATCAACAGTAAAAATTCACACAGTATAATCTTCACGGGTTGTAACATAAAAATAACCGTATTTGTTCAGCTAGTTTCTTGATTTTGTGTTATTGTGGTTATCTATATTTTGGTTTTGCAAATGGGATTCAAATTGGCATGCTCGATCTGCAACTAGCAAGTCATACCGACTAAATAGTACGAGTTAGTGTAACAAATTCGATTGATAAATATCAAAATTAATTTAGGTCCGCAATAAAAATAAACAATTGAATGTTACTATTAAAAAAAAAATAGTAACTACCGTACCTCTTCGATTAATTTTGTGGGTAGTTATGAAAAAAAGAAAAAGACGATTTTATATTAAATTGGTACAAATTAGTATATGATTATTTCTATACTAGGTTTATTATTTAAAAATTATATTAAATATTAAATTTGAACAATTTAACAATAAAGTCTGATAAAAAAAAAAAATCAAAAAGGCCGGAGAAAATAAAATAGTTCACAAAATATCACACACATATTTCTCTGCCGAATCGCCGGTAAATTATTTGTCATGAATGAGGCCGCTGCACTTGCTCAATGAAAGCACACTTCCCAATTTATCAAGAATCGCCGCCGCCCATTGTCAAGCGATCAAATCATCCCTCATCTCCGATACATACACTTCCAATAACCTCATAAGCAGTTACTCGAAATGCAGAGATTTAAATTCCGCCCTCAAACTGTTCGACGAAATGCCGCACAGAGACACCGCCTCTTGGAACACCGTCATCACCGGGTACGTGAATTCAAGAAACATTCCAACTGCTTGGGGAGTCTTGAAATCAATGAAAAGACTCGGGTTTTTATTCGACGGGTACACATTTGGAAGCATGCTCAAGGGCATTGCTGTCGGCAGCGGACTCATGCAAGGCCAGCAACTCCATTCCGATGTTGTGAAGATGGGGTTTTGTGACAATGTATATGCTGCTAGTGCACTTTTAGATATGTACGCAAAGTGCAGCAGAGTTGAGGATGCGGACAAGGTGTTTAAGTACATGCCGGAGAAAAATACGGTTTCTTGGAATGCTTTGATTTCAGGGTATGCTGAAATAGGGAATCTACAGCGTTGCATTGAGTTGTTTATGTCTATGGAGATGGAGAGTATGAGAGTAGACGATGCAACATTTGCACCTCTTTTGACATTGCTTTGTGATGATGTGTTTTACGACTTAACAAGGCAGCTCCACTGTAAGATTACAAAACATGGTCTCCAGCATGAGAACACTGTTCTTAATGCAACCATAACTGCATATGCAGAATGCGGATGCATTGAAGATGCAAACAGAGTGTTTGATAATGCTGACGGGTCCCGCGATTTAGTGACGTGGAATTCCATGTTAGCAGCTTACTTGGATCATGATCTTGAAGAGTGTGGATTTGACCTTTTCTTGGAGATGGTGAGACTAAGGATGGAAATGGATGCTTATACGTATTCGAGCGTAATAAGTTCTTGCTTTGGAGATGCAGAACAGAGCCTCGGAAAATCCTTGCATAGTTTGGTAATAAAGAGGGGATTCGAAGAGGTTACACATGTATCTAATGTATTAATTTCCATGTATTTAAAATCTAGTACCCAAAGCGTGGACGATGCTTTGAAAGTATTCGAACATATAGATGTGAAGGACTATGTATCATGGAATACAATTTTGACCGGCTTGTCTCAAGTTGGGGCGAGTGAAATTGCCTTGAGGCTCTTCCAGAAGATGCATAATGACTATTTAGTAATCGACCATTACGCCTTTGCAGCAGTCTTGAGATCTTGCTCGGATTTAGCCACACTCCAGCTTGGCCGACAGGTTCATGTCTCGGTGGTCAAATCGGGATTTGAGGGAAACGAGTATGTAGCTAGTGCTTTGATAGTCATGTACTCAAAGTGTGGAATCATTGAAGATGCTCGGACATCATTTGATGCATCTCATAAAGGCAGTTCTGTGACGTGGAATTCGATGATTTTTGCTTATGCACAACACGGGCAAGGTAAAGTTGCGCTTGACGTGTTCGACGAAATGACTAAGAGAAACGTGAAGGTGGATCACGTGACCTTCGTTGCTGCTCTCACTGCATGCAGTCACATTGGTTTGGTTGACAAAGGTCTCGACTTTCTGAAAACCATGGAAACAAAATACGGGGTTTCGCCAAAGATGGAAAATTACGCATGTGCAGTCGATTTGTTAGGTAGAGGCGGACGTTTGATGGAGGCGAAAGAATTGATTAAGGAAATGCCGTTTGAAGCTGATGTAACGGTGTTGAAAACGTTGTTAGGTGCTTGTAGGGCGTGTGGCGACATACGATTCGCTACTGAGGTAGCTGATCGGTTGATTGAACTGGATCCTGGAGACCATTGTACTTATGTTCTCTTGTCTGATATTTATGGATATCTTAAGAGGTGGGATGAGAAAGCTAGTGTGAAGAGGTTGATGAGAGAGAAAGGAGTGCGAAAGGTGCCTGGTTGGAGTTGGATCGAGTTGAAAAACGAGGTTCATGCTTTTAATGCGGAAGATTATTCGCACCGTGATTGCAGAGAAATATACCGGGCTTTGGAGGAATTAACTAATGAAATTAGGGTTTGTGAAGATGGTTTTATTTTGGATGTTCCGATTGATGATGTCGACCTTGCCAATGGGTATTGGATAATAAGTGGTGATGGTTTTGTTCAAAGTATGCAGTTTTCTAACATGCAAAAAGACGAAACCTTTCTTCCTCTTTGAGAAACGAGAATGTCGATAAGGAATTGGCGGTTCAATTTCGAAAATTATCACCCCTGAAACCAATTTCGATTTTTATTTTTGGAATTTTTATCATCAAGAATTTTGTTAGTTACTACATACAGAGGTATACTGTTATGTCCTGACGTGAACTAGTTTATTTTCGATTTTTGCAATGTGTGTTTGTTCATGATCGATGATATCTAGTAAATTTGCTCAATTTCTCGGATAATAATTATTAACTTGTTTCTTCTTTTCATTGCAGAAGCTACAAAAATATACGCGTTTCTCTGGTTATGGTTAACAATTTTTAGATCGTGTAGAAGGAAGATGTTACTGAACATGGTACGCCGTAAACAGATCATAATGCGCTCACACACACACACACACACACACACACACACACACACACATATATATATATATATATATATATATATATATATATATATATATATAATTTCGTTTTTGAGATCTGGGATTTTGATAATGGATACCAAGAATGTGGACCTTAGTCCTTAGAAAGACTGTTATTTAGCCTAGCCAGGACAAAGATAAATGAATGGTTATTATAGTGTCCTTATTGCAAAATAATATGTGATTTGTCTATAATCAATTGTTGTCCTCTTGTTTGAACCCCTACCCCATCCCACCCCTAAACCCGCGATACTTTCGTTTACGCAACTCCCGTCGGCCAACTTTTTGCGTATTAATTTTTTTTTTTGACAATAGAACGTGCAACCACTCAAAGTGCACCGAGACGACTCCGCTCTCAAAGTTCTTCGCAAATCATTCAAGATTTTTTCCTTATTGGTTAGTTTTCCTATCTTTCTAGGTAATTTTTTTTTGCTTGTGTGTGTGTGTGTAGCCTTGTGTTTGTTTCAGTGCAAAATTGCAGTTATTCACAAGATGTGACTATTTTCTGATATTTGACAGTCTGCAATTTATTCAGCTAATATAAGTATATAACCCATTGCTAACTCATTCTTTTGTTCTTTTCTTTAGAAATTCAAAAATATATAATAAAATTAATTTAAATTCAATTCCATCCATTTTCCCATCTCTCCTCTTTGATATTAGGGTTTTTTTTTCTCACACGAATTTTAGCAAAAATATAAATAATAATAATAATGGCAAATTCGACGACCTCCTAAGATAAGACTAAATTACGAAAAAAGAACCTTCTTGTTTGAGTCATTACAACCACCTTTGCGAATTATGTATTGTTTTTATTAGTGATTTGTTTAAAGTGGGTTGGCCACTGAGCACTTGATACCACTAACTACGTTGACCTGTAGACCAATAAATTTTAGGTCTTCAAGTCAGTTTCTTCAGAATATACCAAAACATAGTAGAAAACAAATATATATATATATATATATATATATATATATATATACTTTTTCATTTTTAGTCAAGGGAAAAAAAAGAGACTTCTTATGGGGGTGTAATTTTGGGTTGTAGGACTTTTAACAACCCCTCCCCCAAATTGCGGCCACCATCGGGGCGTAATGTAAGGTTAAATTACGAAAAAATCTCTTTTAACAAATATTTCCTCAATTATGTATTGTTTTATTTTGATGTTGACATGGAAAATGAGTTGCTCACATGGTGGAAAAAGTTAAATAAACAGCAAGAAATACTAAATATATATATATATTTTAATTAGTTATGAAATTGATGTATTTGTTTTCTTCATATATATATATATATATATATGTATATATATGTTTGGAACTCCACCAAACCGGTCCCATTTTCCAACATTAATAATCCCTTCAACAATTTTCCACTCAAAATGTTTATATGGCAATCCGAATACGATTACAGTAAATATATATATATATATATATATATATATATATATATATATATATATATATATATATATATATATATATATATATATATATATATATATATATATATATATATATATATATATATATATATATATATATATATATATATATATATATATATATATATATATATATGAGTGACGTGGAATTTTGAAGTTGTATATAAATGCAAAGATATTGATAGTGGGGAGTATGCCCACAAAGCCATAAGTGAAAAAAAAAAAGAAAAAAGAGAAAAAATAATGGAAACTCACAATAATTCCTTCTTCTTCCCCCCTGTGATGAAGCTAATTACTTTGCTACTGTTTTATTATTGTTTTTTATTTGAAGGCACAAAAGCTAATACACAATTCCATACTCTTCAAATCAGCTCTCTTCAACCAGCATCACTCTGCACTCCATCCACTGCTTCAGGTAATATACCATTACGTAACTTTCTTGCGATTTTTTTCGATTTTTTTCTTTTTTTTATTTGAATTTTCTGCGATTTTTTTTTTTGGGGCCAAACATAGTATATATTTATGAAAATTTCAAGAATTGAGGAATAAAGTAACTATAGAAGCCTGTATTCATCAATAAGGTTGATAAGCATGCATATATAATATTGTGAGATTATATAGTTGAAAGCCAGTCATACTTGAATTATTCTGGAAATTTACTTTTATTTTGGTAGCAAAAAAGAAGAAGTTATATTTAGTTCATTTACAGCAGTAATGCTTGCTTTTTTGCTCTCAATGATAATATTATATATTTTATGAATTTAATTATATACATATTTTATTAATTATATTATAATTTGGAATTATTTTATGTAAGAAGCCATTATAAAATGCACTAAAGTTGTTTTCAACCTTAAAAAAAAAATTAGTGACTCTTTTGCTTCATGGCAAGAAGAAAGCAACAATAGACAACTTGATTATGTGCCTTGTCTTGTATTGCTGTGTGTTTTTTCAGTGTGTAAAAATGTGTGTTTTTTTGGTTTCATGTAATTGTCCCATATATATATATTTTCACCTAATATTGATGGAAAATAATATTTTAATGGATCCAATGCAACCCCATTATGAGTATTTATTTGTAGAAAATATAATCTTTAAATGGTCATAAATTAGTTGAAAATTTGCTTTTTCAGTTTTCCCTTTTTATTTTTTTATTTTTTTTAGAAATTAATTCTTAATATATGATAATCTCTTAATTAAATCAAACATGAATCTCAGGTTCAAGCAAGAAGCAATCAACATTAGAGGTCATACACAAGCATGGTCCATGCTCTATTCTAACTCAAGACAAGTCCTCCACCACCACCACCGCCGCGGCATCGCCGCCACTAAGCGAGATCCTAACCCACGACCAATCGAGGGTTGAATCAATCCAATCTAAACTCAAGCCCAACTCGAAAAAACCCAACAAACTCAACGAAAAGAAAACCAACATCCCCGCCCAATCGGGCAAGTCCCTCGGCTCGGGAAATTACTTAATCGCCATTGGCCTCGGCACCCCCAAGAAAACCCTAAACCTAATCTTCGACACGGGGAGCGACCTCATGTGGACACAGTGCCAACCGTGCGCCCGTTCATGCTACACACAAAAGGACCCGATATTCAACCCTTCTCTCTCCGGTTCCTACTCCAACATTTCGTGCAGTTCGGCTCAGTGCTCTCTGCTCACCTCCGCCACCGGAAACAACCCCGGCTGCACCGCTGCCTCCACCTGCGTCTACGGCATTCAGTACGGCGACAAGTCATTCTCCGTCGGATTCTTCGCCAAAGACACACTCACAATCACGCCAAACGACGTTTTCCCGAATTTTTTATTCGGATGCGGCCAAAACAACCAAGGGCTTTTTGGGAACACCGCCGGATTATTAGGGCTCGGCCGAGACTCCTTATCTCTCGTTTCTCAAACTTCGCAGAAATACGGGAAGTACTTCTCGTACTGCCTACCGTCAACATCGAGCTCAACGGGTCACTTAACACTCGGCAAAAATAACGGAGGAGCTGCTTTGACTTCTTCGACGGTCAAATTCACCCCTTTCGCCACCTCGCAGGGGAGTTCGTTCTACTTCATAGATATCGTATCTATAAGCGTGGGTGGGGCCCAGCTGCCGATCGGCCAATCAGTTTTCAAGGCTGCCGGAGCGATCATCGACTCCGGCACGGTGATCAGCCGCCTACCGCCAGCGGCGTACAGTGCCATGAGCTCGGCTTTCCGGCAACAGATGAAGCAGTACACGAGTGCCCCCGCGTACTCGATACTGGACACTTGCTTCGACTTTGGTAATCTTACGAGTGTATCTATTCCGACGATATCGTTTGTATTCTCCGGCAATCTGAGGGTGGACTTGCATCCCTCCGGGATACTTGTGGCGGTTAGCTCGACTCAGGCTTGCCTGGCGTTCGCCGGAAATGGAGATGCCGGCGATGTGGGTATTTTCGGGAATACGCAGCAGAAGACTTTGGAAGTGGTGTATGATGTGGCTGGAGGGAAGCTGGGATTTGGGAGTGGTGGATGCAATTAAGGACTTTTAATATATATTAATTATACTTAATTATCTTTAAATTAAGGGGTAAACAATGTATAGTGATCATAGGCTGTGGTGGTAACAATGCATAAAGTTGTGGTTGCTGGATTATTGAGGAAAAATAAAAAAATAAAATTATTATTTTCTTCTAAATAGTCCGATGTTAACTTCCAGGGATGAAAAACTAATCCCGATTCCGTTGCAAAAGATTCCCGAAAAATCAGAAATTGGAAGTCGAATTTTTTTGAAACTGGAACGAAAAATACTGTTCCAAAATTGAAAAATTTAAATCACTACCAACAGAATCCAAAATCCCGTTCTAAAATCAGAGAAATCGGAAATTGGAATTGCAAAATATTGTTCGAAAATTCAGAAATTTTGGGATCGAAACCGACGAAAATCAAGAATTCGTTATAAGATAATAATGCAGGTTTAGTGGACTATATAAATATTATATATATTCGAATTAAACTGGTCAGAAAAGATGGACCTATACCATGTCATAGTGAGAAAGATACAGTCATACACTCATACATACATACAAACAGCTAATAAAGAAAAAAAGAAAATTATTCGTGGCATTGTTTATTGAAAAGAAAAATAGCTGTTCAGGTATAGATACAGCCAATAATAAATCAATATTGCCTTATTACACTACTTTTCAAAACTTCCATGTTAAAGAAATTCAGTCAATGCTGAATTTTGCTCATATCTAAATTGCCATCTGCTATATTAACCTTATAAAATGTAGGGCAGATTACGACCACCCCTTAAGGTAAGGTCAAATTACGAAAGAAACTCATGTTGTTTGGGTTATAACCACCCCTGCAACTATATATTGTCTGACACATCCAATTCTACGGTGTCAAATTTACATATCGAAGAAAGGGTTTTTTTCGTAATTTTGACCATCCTAAAGGGAGATGGCCATAACTTACCCTAAAATCTAAAAACTATCATTCATCAAACTAACAAATTTATGTACCTCAAGATTAAGTAATCATAGGATAGACCACTAATCATAGTGCTTTTAACCTTTTGGGCTAACTACTATCAAAATAAACAAGGTACAAAATAAAAGTGCAATTATTATCATTTCTCCCCAAGAGATTAAAGTACATTTTTGTACTAAAAAAATTAACACAGCTTATGAGCCAATAAAAAACATTAAATTTAAGAAAAAAATAAAAAAAATCAGAGTAATGGACAACCCATAAAGCAATGAATGAAAACACATATCCACTCACAACCAAACAGCAAAGAAGAAAACAAAAGTGCACACAGCTCAATACACATTAAGAAGAATCCAACACACGTATCTTTCAACCCAACTCATCACATAATAAAATAATAAATAAACAAACATTTAAATTCTTTATAGTTTATAATTCTACTTCCTAACTTTAGCCCAGCCACATACAATTATTTATTGGCTGATGAAAATTAATGAGTGAGCCCCATATATATATGTATGTATATATATACCTAATACCTTACTTCATTCATTATTTAACTACTAACAAGGTTTCTGTCAATATCATTCACAAAACATGAACGAACTACAAGTTTAGATTCTCTCAAAGTCAATGATACTATCCGTTAATCCATCTAATTTAGAAGATTCCGTAATTACAGCTTAAATAGACAAGAATCGTTACCAAATGCCACTCTTTACTCCAGTATTCAGTGATCCTTATACTATGCTACGTCGGGGTAGATCGTTACTATTATTTACAGACAAAACACTCACACCCACACAGGTGTGTAGAAAAAACCCCGGGGTAGATCGTTACTATTATTTACAGACAAAACACTCACACCCACACAGGTGTGTAGAAAAAACCCATCTGATATAACATTCATCGGGTGCAACATAGAAATAACCGAACCCCGGATTTATTTCTAACGGAATCAAATGATAAATCAACTAACACCAATTTGCACAACATGATTTTTGACTCCAGAAAAACAGGGCAGAAAGTTAGAAAAATAACTGCACACTGCCAGTTTAATAATATATCAACTAGTGGGATGCTGCAACACTTGAATGAAAAAAACATTTAATGCACAAAGTACAAGGTCAAATCAGCCAAGGTGATACATAGTCAATAATTCAACACTGAATCCATTGAGCATTCCCAAGCAATATTATAATATATATATATATATATATATATATATATATATATATATATATATATATATATATATATATATATATATATATATATATAATAAAGAGTTAGTTAGTGGTTAATCTTATGCTGTAAATAAATCATGAGTGATGAGATTAGATAATAGCAGTAAATTTGATGAACTGAGAATGAAATTCAACCACAATTAAAGAGAAAGGTAAAATAAATTAAAATTAAACGTTGCGGTTATTATCTACAGATACCCATTATCAATCCCCCAAATTTAGAAGGGGATTGATTGATTGATTGATTGATTCATCATCATATTTTCACCATGATTTTTTTTTCCAGAAAAAAACTTACCGCGGCTAAAAATTAACGAAAAATCTCTATGCAAATCCACGCGCCGTTAATCAATCTCGTTCTCACTCTCGCCGCCGCTGCTCATGGGCAGAACCTTACTCGTCGGAGTGGCGCCGTCAACAAAAGTGGCCGAACTCATCTCCATCTGACTAATCCTCACCGCACCGAACAAACGCTCCGGCAGCTCCTCCTCCTTTTGCCCCTCCACCAGAAACCCCATGTCCACTGTCACCGCCGTCACGCAGCCTAAAGCCAGCCGCAAAATCGCGGTGGCTATTGCGGAGCTGCCGATATCGACATCGATTTCGAGGTAATTAGGGCCGCGGTGGTAGTAGCAATTCAACGCCTTGCCCAATAAACAAGCGGAGTAATTCCCGACGGCGGTTTTCACAATCCACGGCCCCTTGACGATTTTATTCACAAGCTTGAACCGGCTGCTGCGGAAGGCATCGGAGCCGTTGACGAACTGGTAGAGCAGAGAATTCGAGCTCATCGGTTCGTCCAATTTGCTCGAGAAATAGAAAACCGCCGAGTGGTGCTCGCGGCCCGGTACTTGGAGATTTATCGCGATTACGAAAGTTTTGGACGATTTCTCGCGAGAATTCGAGCTGCGCAATGCGTTCATCACGCGGTTGTCGGGTCGGGCGAGGACGTGATCCAGTTTCGCGTTGGATCTGAGCCAATCGACCCCAGCCGGATTCAACAACCACTCGCCGGCCGGAATTTTGGCCTTTTTGGTGAAATAATTAGGTCCTCGGACGGAGAACACGTCACCCGGAGGCGACGCCCATCCGTTGGATCCAGTGTGAAGGTCAACGTGTTTCAAGGATCCGCTGCTGATTGCTTCATCCCTCCAGTCTTCTCCGGTGCCGGCCGCCGTCGAGGCGGTGGAAGAGGTGGAGGACCGGTGGTGGCTGTGGTGGTGCTTTTGCTTGTGCTTCGTTGGACACATTTTTTCGATTGCCAATTCTCTCTCTCTCCTCTCTCTCTCTCTGTATATATGGTCGGCGTTGGAAGGTCCGCCGTGAGGTAACACACTACCAGACAGGGTGGGACTCGTTGATGATGGGTTTTGCGGAGGTTAAATTGGAGTAGGGCTAAAGCATGTGCCCTTGGAATTGGAAGAAATTACGGGAATACCATCCTTCGAAGGAATTCTTTTGACAGCTAATAATGGACATCTACTATATTATTTTATTAAAATAATGATATATTTAATTGCCAATATATTTCCAAATTAAATTTATGTATCGAAATTATTAGTTTGATACACGTGGTAATAATTAGAGGCCAGCTGAATATTAACTATTTTATTGAGTATGTGATCGAGAAAAATATTTTATTATTATAGTAATATATTTTTTGGTAACGACAACAAAATTGATATATAATTATTGGTGAATTAATTATCGCATGCCAAGTCATTTGCCTGTAAATGTATATAATAGAATATAATTCTTTGAATTTGTAAAATAAAATTTAAAATTAAATATATACAGATAATTTCTTCACATGATTTGTTTGTTTCAAAATAATAAGTATATAAAAGAAATTAAAAGGCATACATGTAATAACAAGGAAAATATTTTCCTAACATGATTATTATTATTTTCCTTTTTTTTTAATAAAGACCCAACATAATTTTGTATGCTATAAACTTGTATTCTGAATTAGGGATGGTGAACGAGATGAGTCGGCTCGTGAACTCGAGCTTGTGTTTTTCGAGCTCGAGCCCGATTATAGTTGTTCAACAGTCTATTATTATTATTATTATTATTCAAAGCTCGAGCCAAATAAATTCAACGAGCTCGAGCTCAAATACAAATCGTCGAACTCGAGCTTGAGCCTTCCAAAATAGGCGAGCTAGGCTCGAGCTCAGCTCATTCACGCCACTAATCTAAATCGGAGTCTATAATAAATTATCGGTAGCATAACATAATTATCGTGTATAGATTTTCGCCAATGTAAAATTACAGAGATGTGCCAAAGCTCCTGGAATCATGGTACAGATAGTTTATAAATTTACAGAAGATTCTATAGCAACAATTATTTTATTTTATACATTACTGTTATTCTAATAATACAAACGTATAAATAATATAATTTATATTGATAATTTTAAAATATATAAATAAAACATTATATATATATTCTCACGCACGAACGCCAATGATCAAACGGCAAACCCCACTCTTTATCATGTTGGGGGTATTAAAGCAAATTAATAGGGATGATGATGGGTGGATCGATTCTGGTGAGGTATTCCTTTTTGACTTTTGGTAATACTAGGGCAAATTACGGCAGGTATGCTCTACGAAAAATCTCATCGTGTTTGGATAATTACAACTACCTCTCTCGACCTCTCTCAACGATATATTGTCTAACACGTTTCACCGCTACAGTGTCAAATTTACCTACTGAAGGAGGAGTTTTTTCGTAACACAATACATAATTGAAATAGATAGTTGTAATTATTTGAAGAGTTTTTTTTATAATTTGACCTTACCTCAGTGAGATGACCGTAATTCGCCCATAATACTAAATAGGTAATGCGGGGATTACTTAAAATATAATTTGAAACAACCATAGAATCAATAACAACAGAACGAAGTGTTAACATATAGCAAATGCAATCAATATTTAATACAGATATTATATCACTACAGAAAACGATGTCGATCGAATGAATTACCTGTGTTTCATAAGGATGAGCAGTAATTCTCCAGCCATGCACAAGCAGATTCCAGAACACGCACCTCGCCCGTAAGTAGTTCTTGAGCTAGCCGCCACCTCAGCACACTCTCGCCACATAGGTTCGAACAGCTCGGCACCAGCAATTTTATACAATTACTATATTCTTCGATCAGCCGAGATATTTCAAAGATCAAAAGCCGATGCGCTTTGATCTCACTATCCCTATTCTTCAAAGGAAACCTCGCCAGACGCCCGTCGTTTTGTGCAGCTTCCGTAACTAGGTCATTCAGTTCTTGCTCAGAATCGCAAGTTAGAATACGGCCAAACGCACGGAGTGATTGTGGGACCCCCTTCCTTCTTCTTCTACCACCACCTGGCACTTCCTTGATTGTGAAAGAATTCCAAGAAGAGTTGAATACATTGACATCTTTTACGCTTCGAGTGAAATGCCTGTCGAGAATTTCGAGCTTCTGTTTGTAGAGCCTGTCGTTTTGGGGTATGTTAAGCTCAAAATGAACCTGGTCGTAACTGTTGCAAGAAACAGTAAAACCAAAGTCTAAGAGGAGTGTAGCATTGGAAAATTTCCCGTATCTTATTCGAACCTCTTCGCCTAGAGCAAAGTCACGGTCGGCTATAACCTCTGTATGTTTTAGGGTTTCGTCACTCAATACATACGACTCTGAATTGCCATCGTGGTTGAAAAAATCGGCAAAGGGAATCAGTGACACACCCTTTGAGCTTTCCCATGCGCGAGATGTAACTAATCCATACGCGTGTGCGAATTCTTGAAGTGTAAAATCTTGAAATTTATCAGGGAATTGACTGAAAGCCAATTTCACAGCAAAGAAGTCTTTTTCGATTTGGGTCTTTTGTCTGAGGGTTTCTTTGTACAAAGCGCTTGGTCGAATCATAGCCAGTTCTTTGTCGGTCCAGAAAATAGTGTTGTTCAATTCCCCAAGCCGAGGGAGTCGGGTGATATAAGGCGCCCATTCGGAATCCTTTCCCATCTCTTTCTCTCTCAAAATAAGTAAAGCAACTCTGGCAACATTACCAACTTCATCTCCTAACAAACAAGTTATTTCTTCGGGTAGATTATTCGGGGATAATTGAACACTGTAAGGAACCTTCAACAAGCAATCTCCTGTCTGGATATTCTCAGCAGCATACAGTGCCTTTCCGTAAGATGATTTTCCAATCGAAAGCGTCGAAGAAATTCCGACCCCAGCTTTGTGCTCCAGCCACGGAAGAAGATCGTTGCAAGTTTCGTCTATACGCGAGGAGGCCTCAAGTGAAGAAACGGAAGCAAAAGAATCGGACAAAGTAGAAAAACAGCGGACGAGAGTGGAGAGCACCGGTCTTTGAGTTGGCGCCCACCAGGTGTTCGTTAAAATGACCGAGTGAAGCAGCATTTCGAAATCTATCACTACCTATTAGTGTTCTTTCCTGCAACGCTGAAAACCAAGAAATAGGAATAATTTTACAGAAATTCTGAACACCCAATTCAATAAATCTGTCCAATCAGAAAATATCCAGAAATTAATCAAACGCAAGAAACAAAACACACCATTGATTTTCACCTTACCTTCTTTTTCAGTGCCTCTTCGTTCTTTGGGGTTGCTTCTCAGTTGCTAATCGGTAAATCCAGTAAACCTAAACCGGAACGAAATTGAAAAATTACACCAACACAGAGAAACCAAATTTGAGAAATTAGCTACAGTTTTTCCATGAATGTAGATACTGACCAGAGCGAGGACGTGGGCAATAATGAGAAAGACGACCAACAGAGGAACCAGCTCAAGAAACCATGGCCGAATTGAGGCTTGCTGAGGATTCGCCATTTTTCTGCAGTGTGATGTACTTTAGATCGTCTTAAACCCTTCTTTGTTTGTATTAGTGTGTGTTGTGTGTGTGTGTTTTTTCTCCTATCTCTCGCGGAATTGATTTATTTACTCTGAAGCCCTAAATAAATGGGTAAATGGCACTTAACCCATTTGTGGTTTGAGCTTTGTCACATGGCCTCCTTGTACTTTTAATATTAAGACATGATCCCCTTTAGTTTGAATTTTGTGTAATTGACCCCCTTTACTTTTAATATAAGCACATAAGCCTCATTTAGTATTTCACTTAGTAAATAAGCATGCTCATTAGTAATAAGAAATTTTTTAAACTACAAGTGAGTTAGGTGCTTATATTGACATACTGGGGGTTATGCGTTAATCTTACTAAAACTTACGATTCTAAGAATAATCTAATCGCGAAATTCGCAATCGAGTTTTCTATTTAATGGTGTTATAATTTTAAATATTATCATAATTAAAAATATTCTAATTTTGTAAACTAGATTAAACAACGTCGAATCTTGAGAATCCGATGTTATTCGTAATTAATCGCTTCAACTTGAGAATTTGATATACATTCTACTGCGTAAATTCAAGGACAAAGTAATTACAACATAATTAAAAGGACTACTTCAAAGATTCTTAAGAAAGTTGAGAGATTTTCATGAAAATATGACGCATATTTATTATTAAGAAAATATAATATTTTGAGTAATATTACTATTAACTAGTTCTCCAATTTTAAAAAAGCTTTCATGTTATAAATATTTGCGAAACTCTCATATGATTATACACTTAATTTAGGGGATGGTGAGCTAAAAAAAATACATTATAGGAGTTTATTTACTAATATTTATAAAAGTAAATTATGGCCACCTACTGAGGTAACATTAAATTACGAAAATTTCTCTCATATTTAGGTAATTACAATCATCTATCAACTACTAATCTTCTAATACATTCACTCTAGTGGTGTCAAATTTAATGGAATCTTCTAGATTATGTGGAATATTCTCCAATTTGTACCCGTTTTATCCCATTCGAACTTCTTATTTCATACAAGATGATCATAAGTTGTGTCTCTTGGCTTGTAAATATGAGATTGTGGTGCATCTAAAACTGCATCTTTGCACACAACGAGTACAAGCTAAAGAACATTCCACGGAATCTAGAAAATTATGTTGAATTTGACACCATACGGGTGGACGTGTAAAATTATTCATAGTTGAGGGGGTGATTGTAATTACCCAAACTAGATGGGGGGTTTTCGTAATTTAACCTTACCTCAAGGGGTGACCGCAATTTACCCTATTTATAATATAGGGAGTTCTCAGCAGTTCATTACAGCATGGGGTGCTGAATGCAATAAACCTGAAAATACTCCAGTACAGATAACACTAATTTACATATTGAACTCGGTATATATTTTCTCTCCGGCGGAGTTTTCTTCCCGGCAAACCGAAGGTAATCAACTACAAACCTGATGATTCCCGCCTTTTAATATCCCTGCATATTTAGATTCTACTTCTTAATGTGAATCATTGTTGAGAACTGAGCAGTAGGAAATTCATTTCATTGATTCGAAATGAATTGCAGCTGTGTGTACTTTCACCAGTGGGATTTTATTTATCGTTTAATCATCCTTTTTTTGAATTTTTTGATCTAGTTGAGTAAACTAATTGATTATAATTCTGAAGCTGAACACCAATTTACTCATCAGTAGAATCAGCAGCAAATTATGCCCTAACCCTAGAATTTTTGATAGGATTTTGCCTGATTTAATAATGTATGCTAGCTGGGGAGTTGTGCATCGATGGGTAGATCCGGTGGTAGCGTCTCGACCATATTGCCCTTTCGTTGCCGTGATTCAGCCCGTAAGGGGGTTGAACGTGAGCCGGTCCGTTTATCATAACGCAAAGGTGTTGAAATCGGTTGCGAATACAGATACAGTTGTGGCAACTGATGACAATTACGGGCATAAGGAAGTGATTAGTGTTAATCCGAGGCTTTACGACTACTTATTGGCTAATGTCAGAGAGCCCGAGGTTTTAATTTCCGACATCTTTATATTCTCGTTCTCTTGTTTTCGTGAATTTGTTGCTGTGTTGGTGAGTTTTTATTCTGCCATTTCAGATTATGCGCGAGCTTAGGGAGGAAACTGCTACCTTGCGTGGTAGTCAAATGCAGGTAAACGTGGGGTTAACTTGTTCGTAAAACTGTTATCTGATATCCGATTATTTCTTATGTTCCGGTTATTTTTCACTAGACGTTTGTGCTGAAGTTATTTAAGTTTTCGTGTTGCGTGCAGGTGTCGCCTGATCAAGCGCAGCTTCTTGCAATGCTTGTTCAGATTCTAGGTGCACAAAGGTGTATTGAAGTTGGTGTCTACACTGTACGCATCTACGAGTACATCTCTATTTTTTTCCATATAATTGTGCTGTTTGGCTCCTCTAGGCTTCTTCTTTGAACTGATTATTGCATCTTTAATATTATGATTCCTTGCGTATATGCGTTTGACAGTTCAAAACAAATATTGCTGCAACCTATCTCCAATTGCGTTAGTGGAAAGTATATATATATCTACGGCTCTTTTTTTTTCGTGTCTTTAATATTAAAGGCTTTTTACATTCTTTGCTGCTTTCTAAAATCAAGTGTTTTCTGACTGGATTTATTTGCGAATGCACTTGTGTGTTATTTCAAAATTTATATTTTTCGCCCCAGGGTTACTCATCTCTTGCAGTTGCTCTGGCCCTACCAGAAGGAGGTCAGATAGTTGCCTGTGAGAGAGATGCAAAATCACTAGAAGTTGCACAGAGGTACTATGAGCGTGCAGGTGTTTCAAATAAGGTATAGTGTTATAATCTCTCTCTCTCTCTCTCTCTCTCTCTCTCTCTCTCTCTCTCTCTCTCTCTCTCACACACACACACACACACACACACAAACACAGAGGTCAATTATCTAGCATTTTCTCATTTTAGGGTTGCTAGCTCTTTTACCGCTCGTATTATTCCCTGAATAGAGTTCTTTGAGTTTTGTACTCAACATAGTGTTCGTAGTAATATCTATTTTTCTTCTTCCCACGAAGACGACTTGTGATGGTTTAATTTGTTGGGGGCTTAGGTGAATGTGAAACACGGGCTAGCAGCTGATACTCTAAAGTCCATGATTCAGAATGACGAAGGTGGCAGGTATTTTAACGAATATCTACTCTAGTTTTGTTAGTTTATCAGTATGTACTAGACCTCTAATGCGTAGGAGCCTAAGTTTCGACAAGGTTATAAAACCATATATGAAAAGCCATAGCACTTCACATATCCCACCGCTCCCGTTTCCTGTGGCTCTTAGGCACAATCTAATATAATGCGGATTTCGTTTTTTTCTCTTTTCAGCTACTAAAAGGGGACTAACCATGCACTTGTTTTCCGTTTAGCTATGACTTTGCCTTTGTAGACGCAGAGAAGAAAATGTACCAAGATTATTTTGACTTACTGCTACAACTGGTTAGTGGCATTTATATCCCAAGCAACCTATCTATATAACCCTCCCATCTTCATATTTTTACGATACCGTAGCGTATAGATACTATGTTTTTTGTTTGGTATGTAAGAAGAATTCTTCATTTTCTCGTTATTCAGGTGAGAGTTGGAGGTGTTATAGTGATTGACAACGTTCTCTGGCATGGAAAAGTTGCTGATCCCCTGGTCAAGTTCACTTAAACTTTTGCCGAAAACCACCCAATCAGTGACAAGCATATGGCCAAAAGGGGCCACAACCCCCCAACACACACACACACACACAAAAATTATTTTATATAGAAATTAGTTATTTTCGATTATTATAGTATTGTCGGCTCCTCGAAGGATTTGAGTGTATATTTGGCTCCCATTGCTCAGCCATTGCACCCAAATTAACAACCTCAAATATTTTTTGGTTTCTGAACTAGTGTTCTTGGGCAGGTAAATGACTCGAAGACTCGTAGTATCAGAAACTTCAATAAAGAATTGATGGATGACGATCGTGTAAGCATTAGCATGGTATGCGTACGTTTCTCTCGAGCATTTCTTTTTACCATTTGTGGACAACAATTCTTTCATCTTTATTAATATCATCGATCGCAGGTTCCGATTGGCGATGGCATGACAATTTGTCGGAAAAGATAGCCTGGAAAATTCATGCATACACACTGTGTAACCATACACGAATTGATAACAAGGAAACTTGCACGTATCCACATATATACGCGTGTGATTGTGTGTAGATCTATGCTGTAAAACCGCCCCATGTATTTTTACGAGATGTAGCATCTAGAAGACGGTAGTTTTGTACGAGGGAACATTGAACTTGATGTCCTATTTTTCAGAATTTTAATTTTAGTTTCAATTATTCAAAAAAGAAAAAAGAAAATCGGAATTAATTTTTAACACATGAGAAAAATAATCGAAAATGCTAATTTCGATCCGTTCGATTTCCACTTGTAATGTAAACAGATGAATGGCAAACCTCTTCATGCATGTAAGCCAAGTGTTTGGCAACCTCAACTTTCTGTTACAATTTATATATACATTTATAAATTTTGACCAACTCAACTCCAACGCCCCCCCCCCCCCGCCCCCAAAAAATCCTTGTCAGCAAAGCTCAATTTTCGGCTATGTGGGACCCACACACACAACTCATTCTTGGCATGACTAAACCAACACAGGGCAAAGAAAAAAATCGTGGCTAAAAGCATAAAAGATATTTCTATTTTCTTTAATATTTATTTATTTATTATTTTCCCCCAATTTTTTTTTTTACAACGGAAACCGGGAAAATTCTGGAAAAGAAATTGAGCTACTTTCCATTAATTGTTTACCTCTTGACGTATTAATTGTTTTCATTTCATAATAATATAATATCATATGATATGATATTATGATTGAACTACTCCATTTATTATTATTATTATTTGTTTTTATTTATTTATTATTACAAACAAACCTCTCTCTCTCTCTCCCTTCTCTTCTCCACCTGCCCTTTTCCTCTTTCTCTCTCTCTCTAACATAACCCCTTCATTCAGGTCCTCTCTCTTTTTCTCTCTATGATTTTCTTTACGCATTTTTCGTATATGCATATATAATTTTTTTTAGAATTGAGACAATGGAGAAAACGAGGTTCGATTCATTATGTTAGTATCAATTATTTTATGCTGCCGCAACGTATTATATGTTGATGCAATGTTGTTAGATCTATTGCTGAACGTGAATTTTGATGTGATTTATTTGCTTTTTTCGTCGTAATTTTTTTTTTTTTTTTTTTGACCTTTTTTTGTGTGCAGCTTGAATTGAAGAAATCCGTGATCGGAATTGAAACAATCAGATTCGGTGATGGTGTGATCTTATCGTTTTTTTGGTTTTTAAAATATTACAAAACTAAAGAGGAAGAAAATTAGGTGATCTGAACAATATTCAATAGATTGAAGCGAAAAAAATAAAGTTGAGCAAATTGGAAGAGGGTTTGGTTACATGGGTTATCTGAACTCAATTTTGTCGCAATCGACAAGTCAAGCCCGAGTCGACGACGCTCCGGTCAGCGGCGGTGGACTTAGGTGATCCTCTTCCCCATCTATTTGCTGTTTCGTGTTTTTAATTGTTGATTCGGCAGACATATGTATTCAATTTGTTGTTTTTCTAATTAAATTATTTGATTTTGTACCTTTTCTTTGGTTTATGCATTAATAGCTGCTAATGAGGATCCTTGATTTGCATTTTTACTCTTCATTCATTGGCGGCGTAAAGTTTCCGAATTCTATGTTGTGATTGGTCAAACTTTGTCGCTGTTTTCCGGGTTGACTGTGCATATATAAATGAGCGAAAAAAAATGTTTTTGTTTTCAATCATTAAAGAACTTTTGGTCGAATCACAAAATTTCCGTAGCTTACGCACGACAACGGAAGTTTCTGCGCAATCCATTTTTGTCGTAATGTGCGTCTTTATGAATATAGTATATAGGACACAAAAAGCCTTCGAAATGTTGTTTGTCACATTCCCCAAACGACCGGTTATTCCCGGTGAATCACAGGGTTATATATAACCGCACATATGTATATATTTATTATACATCTTATGCACATCCATTGTATATGCGTTGATTATGTTTAATTCTGTTGTGTAATGCCATGGTATATTTCATCCGATGTAGCATCTACCCATAGATTTTCTAGTTATGAGTAATTTGGTCTAACATATCTTACGTAACATTCAAAACAAGTTTTGGTTTATGTCTTGAATAATTGTGATGTATGTCTTGAGTTAAAACTAGTAATTAGAAGAATTATTTCATGTGGTTCAGTCTAACTAACATCTGGTGTATCAAATCAAATTACTCGTATGCAGTCAGGACGGAAAATTCAGCTATGGATATGCAAGTTCTCCAGGTAAAAGATCTTCGATGGAGGATTTCTATGAGACAAGGATTGATAGGGTTGATGGAGAGGTGATCGGTCTCTTTGGAGTCTTTGATGGTACCTCTCTCTCTCTTTGTGTGTGTGTGTGTGTGTGTGTGTGCGTGCGTGTGTGTGTGGAAAAGCATATTACTCCTTACTCTTAGAGAAATAACTCATATACATTTATAAATTCTGAACCAGCAAAATTGTCTATTGTAATATTTCTTCTTCTTAAATTTAGGTTCTTATTTTCATGCAATAATGAGAATGTGAATCCTTCATCATATTTTAGGTCACGGGGGAGCTCGAGCTGCAGAATATGTCAAAAAGAATCTTTTCAGTAATCTGATACGGCACCCGAAGTTTATTTCCGATACCAGATCAGCTATAGGTATATCCTTGTGGTGCTACTGCCTTCACAGTATACAAAATTGTTGCTCTTTTGACTTCTTTTTTTTAAAAACTGTTTTTGGTCTCATTTCAGCCGATGCCTACAGTCATACAGATTCAGAATTCTTGAAATCGGAAAACAATCAGAACAGGGATGCTGGGTCCACTGCTTCAACTGCTATCCTCGTTGGCAACCGCTTATTGGTGGCAAATGTTGGCGATTCAAGAGCCGTTATTTCCAGGGCTGGAAATGGTAATATTCGGAAACTTTTTTTATTTTTTCCCTTAAATCTTTTTGTTAGTTTGTGATTGGAATATTGCGAGAATTTAATCAACTCGCTTATGGCTCAGGAAATAGTAATGGATTTTGACAGAAAGGTGATATCTGAATGTGATCAGTTTCAGTTATTATGATTTAGTAAAATCCTTTTCTTAACTGAAATCACTGAACAAAATCATGCAAGCTGAAATAAGGAGACATAAATATGTTATTTTATTACATTTGAATTTTGATAGTTGTGTTGGATCTTGCAGCTATTGCTGTCTCTAGAGACCACAAACCAGACCAAACTGATGAGAGACAAAGAATTGAAGATGCTGGAGGTTTCGTGATGTGGGCAGGTAAAAAGCATATACCTATGTGCTGGTCTAAACTTTGTTCGTTATGTTTTTGCATGAGTGATTATCCTCATGTTTTTTTTCTCTTTTAACTTGGGAAATTTGTCGATAGGAACTTGGAGAGTTGGAGGAGTGCTAGCTGTGTCTCGTGCATTTGGTGATAGATTGCTGAAGCAATATGTGGTTGCTGATCCTGAAATTCAGGTGTGCTTTTTATAAGGCATCTTCGTTTTTTCGTTAATATGATACTCGAAAAAGTATATTCTTCTTTATTATCTATCTGTGTGTGTTAGAAACTCTTTCAATAAGTGATTGATTGCGGCCTCGATTTCATCTTTTTACTCGTATAACATGTTTCCAAATCCAACAACCTTCCAACTACCCATCTCTTGTACATCTCAATCAACAAAGTACACAACATAGCATTTGAAGCTTTTAAAAAACTGCAATTTTTGTAAATTAAATGGAGAGTAGTAATTTTCTGCTCCACTTTTTCTTCCTTAATATCTAGCATATGTTACACTGACAATTTTATTTTTATTTTTTGAAATGCAAAAACAGGAGGAGAAAGTCGATGACACGCTCGAGTTTCTCATCCTTGCCAGCGACGGTCTTTGGGATGTAGTGACAAACGATGTGGGTTTTAGTTTTAGTTTTGGTTTTTGTTAAAATCTTGATTATTTTAATTCATATATGTTAATTGAACATACTTGTGATTGTACTAGGAAGTAACAATTTTATGTGGTCTTAATCCAGGAAGCTGTCTCTATGAGTAAACCACTCCATGATCCGGAAGAAGCAGCTAAAAGGCTAATGCAGGAAGCTTATCAGAGAGGCAGTGGTGATAACATCACAATCGTTGTTGTTCGGTTTCTGGCCAATCGAGTCGAATCTTCGTCTCGTACCTCCTCTGCTTAACCATGGTTTATAAATTATGCAACACTAAACTGTAGAAACATAGATAACGCTATTTCCAAAAATGTTTATTTTTCTCTTCTTTTTTTTTTTCGAGTTCTTATCAGACTATACACTTATGTAATGTAACTTTAGTTCATCAGCTTAACGAATATTTATTTCTGAAACGTGCTGTTATTTTTATTTTAATTTCAACATGTTCATAAAAAAAATCGAAGAAGCCCTTAATTGAAGTCAAAGAATTGCAGATACGATACTCGTTAAAATATTCGGAAATCAATCCCAAAAAGGAGCAACTAATGTGTCATGCTCAGAATAAATTCGCAAAATTCGAATAATTAAATAGCAAATTTACAGGCATCTAAAAACAGCCACCCCTCAGAGCAAGAACAAGATGAAGAACAGAGCCACCTTCAATGTTGTAGTCTTTCGCAGTTTTGTCATCTGCAAGCTGCTTCCCGGCATAAATCAGCCTGCAATTAAGTCGTTTTTGTGTCAAAGCAAAGACGAGAAAAAAGAACGAATACGAGCGAATTGAACCAATTGCAGGTCAAAATTTGTTCCGACGACACACATTTAGTATTGAAAAAAACGAGTATATAACCGACTAACGAACCTTTGTTGCACGGGAGGAATTCCCTCTTTCTCCTCGACCCGTTCCTTAACCCGGTCAATAGTATCATTCGGCTCAATGTCGATTTCAATTTCTTTACCTGTTAGGGTTTTCACCTTGATCATGGTACCTCCCCTGAGTCTCAGAACAAGGTGGAGCGTCGATTCTTTCTGGATATTATAATCCGCCAACGTTCGTCCATCTTCCAATTGTTTACCGGCGAATATCAATCTCTGCTGATCGGGCGGTATGCCTTCTTTGTCCTGATATACCAGTAATCGCCATGTCAGTTCATAAAAAAACAGTAAAATCCCCAAATTACAAAAACAAACCCTAGCTCCGGCGATACAGATATAATAATCTAATAATCGATCATCGGAAGAATCAAGGAGAACAATTCAATACTATAATGACATGAAATCGCAGTATAAATCAACATCAACTCACAAATCGAATCACCAATTCGGTTTTCTTTTTTTTTTTTTTTTTTTGCTTCAATCAGAGAGAGAGAGAGAGAGACCTGAATCTTGGCCTTGACATTGTCGATGGTGTCGCTGCTCTCTACTTCGAGCGTGATCGTCTTTCCGGTTAGGGTTTTGACGAAGATCTGCATATTTCTTAACTCACCTGGTGATCTGAGTAGCGTCGGCAAATTGGATGAGTTTTATACGGGTTGACTCGTATTTGGTTATGGTATAATTCAGAAGGTTTATTTATAGGGTAAATTATTAGACTGACACCTTTACTTTCTATAACTTTTAACTCATTCCCTCAAATTTTTATTTTCTTAATTCCACTTTGCACCCTTTAAATATAACTTTTATATACACTTTGCACCCTATAAAAAGTTTTAATAGTATTGTTTACCCCATAAAAATTTTGAATAGTATTTTGCACCCTAAATATTCAATAAATCATTATTCACAATAACTTCGAATTGATTTTTTTTTTAAGTTAACGAGGAAAATATGTCTTTATAGTGGTATTTATAACCTTAAATTACACCCCACATGACTCATATTATTGATTTATTGTCTCTTTAAATATATTTTTTTTTTAATTTGGGAACAAGTTATTTGAATTCCAATCTCTGAAATTGAAAGTTCCGATTTCCTAATTAAAATTTTACCATTGTTGGAATTTATTTTTCAAAAAAGTTGAAATCTTTCCAAAAAATTCAAATTTCAATTCGATGTTTAGATTTGAAAGAAAATACACTTTTTATCTCTTAAGTTTACCGTAGTTTGACACTTTAGTCCCCCCATGTCCACGAAAAAAAAAAAAACAGATTTAATCACTCATATTTCAACAATTAACATTTTTGTTATTTTCATCAATCACAGTTATTCTGTTAGTTAAGACAGTAACGGACACACGATTAATTTTGTTAGTACTCACAAAAAAATTGACGGAAATAACAAAAAAATGTAAACATTTGAAACACGAGGTACTAAATTTTTTTATTTTTTTAACTCATAAAAAAAATCTATTTTTTTTAAATAAAGATGATCAAATGTCTAATTAAGGTAAACTTAAGGGAGTAAAAGTGTATTATTCACCAAATTTTCGAGTGGATAATTTTCCCAATTTTTAGTTAGTTTTGGCAATTAAATAATATATTTTATGACTATCTTTATCTGCTTTCAGCTTGTGGCTAACCGGTGAACTCCAAGAAAATGAACTCACTTCCATTTTCAATCGGCACATTTAATCCAACGAATCATCTCTTTACCAATAGATTAGAAGAATTTCCCACAAGAAATAAAAATCTGCTGATTCTTGATTCTTCTACTACAGTCAAATCCAACGAAACCAAATATCCCAACACAAATTCAGCTTCTTTGAGCAGAAGAGAAGCCGTTGGTTTTGGCTTCTGCTTCAGCTTTCTTCAGCTTGTTATTCCACAACCGTTTCCCGCGGCGGCTGAGGGCGGCGCCGCCACTCCTTGTCAGTTCACAGAAGCTCCGTCTGGGCTCGCGTACTGCGATAAGGTTGTCGGGTTCGGGCCTGAAGCTGTCAAAGGCCAGCTGATTAAGGTAACTTTTTTTTTTAATTGCAATTTTTGCCCTCCACTTCGATTAATTATTTTTTTAGCAATTATGTGATTTTTTTTACTTTTGAGGGATTTTAAATTCACTATTTTGGCAAATTTAAATAGTTTTAATTGGTTGTTACTCGGTTATTTCTATGCTATATTCGGTGAAGCTTACACTAGATGAATTTTTATCGTTGATTTACACACTTAAATGTGTATATGAGTGTTTTTTGGGATGTATGACTGGTAATTAAGATCTACCTTACGTATTTCATGTACGTTGATTTACACATATTAATGTGTGTGTATGTGTGTGTGTGAATAGTAAAGATCTACATGATGTATTTCACCCGGTGTAGCATAATATAAACTGTCGTTACGGTTTGTCGTTAAAATTTGAAAGGGTAAATTACAACCACCCCTAAGGTATGGTCAAATTACGAAAAAACCCCATTTTGTTTGGATAATTACATATACCCTTCAACTATGAATCTTCTTATATTTTCACCCTTATGGTGTCAAATTCAACATAATCATTTAGATTACGTGGAATATACTCTAGTTTGTACTTATTTTTGTTCAAAAATACAGTTTCTGATGCACCACAATCTAATATAAACAAGCCAAAAAACATATCTTATGATCATCTAGCTTCAAAATGTAGAGCTCGAATGAGATAAAGCGGATCCAAAATTGAGAATATTTCATATAATCTAGAAGATTCCACTAAATTTGAAACCGTAAGGGTAGACGTGTAAGAAGATTTATAGTTGAGGGGTGGTTGTAATTACCCAAACAGGAGGGGGGTTTTCGTAATTTGACCATACCGAAGGGGTGGTTGTAATTTACCCAAATTTGAAAGTAAAATTGAGATTGTGTGTGAGATTTTTTTTTCATATTTTTTTAAAAATAATAATTAGTTTGTGTTGGATTAAATTGGATAAAATTTGCAGGCGCATTATGTAGGGAAATTGGAAAATGGGAAGGTGTTTGACAGCAGCTACAATAGGGGAAAGCCTCTTACTTTTCGTGTAGGTGTCGGTGAGGTACGTACGTGCATGCGTGCATTGTGCATGAATTATTATATTTCAACTTGAATATTACTTAATTATACAAACAAGAGGGGGTTTTCCGTAATCTGGACTTCCCTCAGAGGAGCGTTCGTAATTACTTGTAATAAAATCAAGAAAATATGTTTGTTGTTGAGAATATATATTGTAGGTGATCAAAGGATGGGATGAAGGAATCATAGGTGGGGATGGAATTCCAGCCATGCTTGCTGGTATATATAATTAATATATATACATTAATTATCCATCGTTTCTTTAATTAATTTCTAAATAAAAATAATTTATATAATTAGTTTAATAAATTAATAAAGAATAAATGTTGTAGGAGGAAAACGTGAGCTGAGAATCCCACCTGCACTTGGATATGGCATAAGAGGAGCTGGCTGTAATGGAGGTATATATCCATCCATATTCAAGATTCATCATCATATATAATAATTATTTAATTTACAAATTATAAACATTCCATTGATTTTTTAATTTTATTTTCATACTAAATTAATTTACTGGAAATGTTTATATTTTATTTTTGTAAAAGAAATTCCGAAAATTGACGGAATTGAGCCGTGCAGGATCATGCATTATTCCTCCTAATTCAGTTCTCGTGTTCGATGTGGAGCTTATCGGAAAGGCTTAGCAGATTTGATTTTATTACACGCTTGGATTTTGGAGCAAGAGCAATGCACGTGTGAATCATCGTCTATTACTTTTAGTTCATCATATATATTTTTATTTTTAATTCTTAATTTTACAATCATTTTATGATCCACAACATATATATACAATTCTTTCGGGATTTGAACTCAGGACTTTTTATTCAACATGACTTTGATACGAACGTTAATTTCTTAGTTACAGCAACATCGAAATGTCAGCCCTTTCCACAATATTCCGGTGGAGGTACGGTGGTGCCGCAGGCGGCAGCTATGGCTCCGGCCTCCAGATCACCACCTCAACCTGCTAAAACATTATTCATAAGCTAAAAAATCTTTAATAATTTTTTTTTTTTTTTTTTTTTTTTTGGTTTTTTGAGTAGGTGAAAAAATAAAAAGAAAATAATAGTTGGCCCATCTAGTTACAAGCTGATAACGGCCATACTAACTGACCGTTAACCATAGTTAAGCCCATCCAGCACTAGATCATGTAACTCTAGTTGATCGCCATTATTAGCAACTCTTGTTGTCTTTTGATCAATAAATAGAAACAAAATAACAAAACGATAAATGAATTATTATCGTGTCCACTTGGGCTTCTCAAATTTTCCATTTAATAATTAAATAAAATAATGAAAATTATACTGACGCTTCATTTCCCAATACTCCATTTGGTGGTGGCCCACTGGAAATCTCGTCAGCCAATGGGCTTTCGCTATTTGATATGCTGTGGCCCACACTATTATCCCTCCAATAAATTTAATTTATTCTTTTTTTCTTCTTTTAACTAATTACACAATTACAATTATTATTAGAATTTAGAGGTGTAAACAAATCGAGTCGAATCAAACGCTCTGCCGACCAAATTTGATTTACGTTTTTTTTTTAAATCAAATTTTGAAAATTGTGGTTTCGGGAATGTTTGATTTGATAAACAATAGAGTCGACTCGAATGATCTTCAGCGGACGCGAATAGAGCTCGAGTAACTTAATTTTTTGTATATATTTTACATGTAACTTGATTTTTAGTTTTATCACATGAGCTCAAGTTTGAACACAAAAAATATATATATATATATATATATATATATATATATATATATATATATATATATATATATATATATATATATATATATATATATATATATATATATATATATATATATGTCGTTATCTTAATAGTCAATGGTCAATGTACTTAGCGTGGAGTTGCACATGGCCCCAAAAGTAGTGATCATTCAATCAGTTGAAAACGAAGGCGATATGGGCAATTGATCTCATCGAAGCATATCTTAGACCTATTATTCGAAATTATTAATATATAAGAAAAAACATTTTAACTTCGAATTCTATAGATAAAGTATATATGCTAATCAAGTCATCAAGTCAATTGGGACTTATCAAAATATGTAAATAATAATTTGAGATGTACCGTGTATTTTGATGCTAGAAATCAATTTATTATAGGGAAGTCCAAGAATTAATTGCCGTCACAAAAAGTACAAACTCCAATTTTATAGTACATTCAGTATACTTATCTCCCATCAACATTGGCTTCCGCCGGTAATCATCGAACCAAGAACCTTGATTTTGTTACCACTTGTAGGACTTCAGGCGCTATCAATTGTTATCCTAATATTATATTGTATTCAGCGCACACAAGTGTCTACGACGTTCGATTGTGAGTCGTCCATCAAGGTAATTGTTGTCAAATCCAGACTAACAATGTCCAAATTACATTTCAAAATTTACCTAGTAACTAGATCCATCAACACCTCCATAATTGTCTAGTTATTTTGTCCTCAAATGGATTTTACTCAATGTTTTGTCAATGAGAGTTAGAATTTACCTACTAGATCCATCAACATCTCCATAATTGTCAAGTTATTTTGTCCTGAAATGAACTTCACTCAATATTTTTCAACGAGAACTCTGCAGGTTGAATCGACGATAGGATTGCACATCGTACTATAGGGTTTATCAAAGAACATCAAAAATTAATTGGAAGTGAATCTCGACCCATTAATAAAATTATAATTCAAGTTCAAAAATCGTACATTAATTATAGTAGCAATCTCGAAAGAAAAAAGTCCCAAACCGACCTTATAATATTTACACACTAGCTTTACATATGGGGTTCACTATTCGTAGTGCAATTTTTTACAGTTATAGTGCGAAATAATTCATTTGTCAAGAAATTCTTTAACTTTTTTTTCAAATTCTCTCAACCTCCGAATTTTTAAACTTTCCAAATCATCATTTTTTCCGATAATATCAATTAGAACACAATAATTATCAATACGGAAGAAACCTACATCAACTTTGAGATAAAGAACGTATTATTTTTTTTATCGAATTTTGACATTTTTTATGCATTTCGTGTTGTATTGCACGAAATGGATAAATGATTTATGTGCATGGTAACCCGAATCGGCAAAAAGCATTATCTCGTGTGTCTGTGCCTTACGTGCCTACAACTATGCCGCGTCGTTGATTACTACATGTGCATG